GGGGTTTGGGCAACAATGTGCCCAACTGGTAAAAAATTCCCCGATCCTAAACCCTACGGGGTTAATTTCCCCGGGGGGACATTCAAATTCCCTTATCAAGATTTATCAGGTTGGACCCCCCTTCAAATTGGGGCTCAACTCTACTCTGGTAGTTAAATGTCTTTACAAACCCCCAACAAATTATTTGGTTTTGGTTGTACAAGGAATTATGTTGATCAATTGTTTTTTGGGATGCCCTTAAATCAATCAGTTCCCTATAACAATTGGGGGGGGACCCTTCCAAATTTTCAAGTTGGGGGTATACCTTACAAACCCTCCCCCCCAACCTTTTGGACTTTAGAGTTTTTCATCAATCCCTTTGGGATTTTTTTTTGGGTTTTAAAAGCTTTTTTTGCCCCCTTAATTTTTTTTTTTGGAATTTGTTTTTTCCTTTTTAAACGGGAAAAATTTCCAGATTTCAAAATTAAAAATGAAAACTTTCAATTTTTTTTCAAAGCCTTATAAATTAATTCCAAATTTTAATTTTGTAATTTTTTAAAAAAAAAAAAAAAAAAAAAAAAAAAAAAAAAAATATTAACATATTTTTTTTTCATTAAACAAGAATCTAATGGTCGACACCTTAATTAATAATAAATAAATAATAGTAATAAATAATAATAATAATAAATTAATTTATTTATTTAAAAAATTATTATCTAAATTTGAAGGCTTTTGGTTTTTAAAAATCTAAAAAGTTATTTTTAATCATTTAAAAAATTTCTAAAAAGAAAAACAATATTTCAAATAATTAATTACATATTTGGTATTATCAAAATTGTATTGTTTAATTCTATTTTTAATTAATTTTTTTTTATTTTTTTTTAAATTTTTTTTTAAATTTTTTTTAAATTTTTTTCTTTTTTTCATTTTTTTTTTTTTAAAATTTTTTTTTAAAAAAATAATTAATTATCTTTGTTTACACAATTTTTTTTTTTCAATTTTAAATCCAGATCATCAAATTAAAAATATACAGAGTTATAATATTATTTATAAATAATATTATAATATAGACAGAGATTAAAAAATGAAGAAGAAATATAAGACAAAATTTCCAATGGCCAGAATTAAGAAGATTATGCAAAAGGATGAAGAGGTCGGAAAAATTGCAGCAGCTACACCAATTTTAATTTGTAATTTATCGAAAAATTATTTAATTAAACAAAATTCATATTCTAATATATTTTTTATTATTTTTAACTATAGCACAATGTTTAGAGTTATTTATGTCAGATTTAGTAAACAAAACTTGTAAAATTACACAATCCAAAAATGGTAAAGTTATGTCTGTAAATCACCTCAAATTTTGTATTAAGCAAGAATCAACATTTGACTTTTTATCGGAAATAGTAGAGAAAATACCAGATGATAAGAATGAAAAGAGAGGCCGACCAAAGTATATATTTTTAATTTTTTATAAACCTTATAATTCTTGGTATTAATTTATTGCTTTTTACAATAGGAGAAAAGATGGTGAAGAAGGTGAGGAAGAAGAGGAGGAAGAAGAGGAAATGGATATGGGTGAGGAAGAAGAGGAGGAAGAGGAAGAGGACGAAGATGATGAAGAGGAAGAGGAGGAAGAAGAACAACCAAAAAGAGGTGGCAAGGGTAGCAGAGGTGGAAAAGGCAGCAGAGGTGGAAAAGCAGGTGCAGGTTCAAGATCTAGAAAAACTAAAGATTCTTCACCACCTTTAAAAGCAACAGGTACAACAACAACAACCACAACATCACCAAAAGATATACCAACAGCATCACCAAAGAGACCATCAGCTAAAAAATCAGCATCAACAACATCACCAAAATCAAGTCCATTTTTATCATCATCCACTGGTTCAATTCCACAATCATTACCAACAAACAATAATAATATCAATATTAATAATAATAATAACAACAATAATATAACCAATAATAATATGAATAACATAGGAATGAATATAGGTGTAGGCAATACAATGAAACCAAATATTTTCCCACAAACAAACCAATTCTTATCATCTTCTACCGCCTCTGTTCAAACTTCTATTTCGAATCAATCAACTTTAGCACCATTGTCTTTACCAGCACTAAATGCAAGCAATATTAATAATATAATGAATAGTAGTAATGGAAATATACCAATTAGTTTTAATAATAATAGCAATATAAATAAAAAGATAGAAGATAATTTTGACGATGATAGCAATATTCCGCAATTTTCGGTTAATAATAATAATAATAATAGTAATAGTAATAATGGATATATAAATATGAATAATAGTGGCAATGATTTATCTTTCCCATCAATATCAATTCCAAATCAAACATTGGGTGGTGTTCCATCTCTTCCAGCCATGGCTCCTCAAATAAAACCCAATATCAATAATAATAACAATGGAAGTTCCAGTATTTCACATCTTTTAAATTCATCAACAGGTTCAACAAAGAAAAATGTTGAAGATGATGACTTTGATTAAAAAAAAAAAAATTAATAAAATAAAAAAATATTTTAACTATTATTTTGTCTTAGTTTATTTATTTTATTTTACTTTATAATTAAAAAAAAATCTATAAATTCATCCTTAAGCAATGGGGTATTTAAATGAATTAAAAAATAATTATCATTGCTACCAAAATATAATAATTAAAAAAAAATAAATAAATAAATCTGTAATATTTTTTTATTTTAAAACTAAAATTATGAATATTCAATTTTATTATTTTCTTTTTATATAATTTAATTTGTTTTATTTAAAGAATTTTTTTAAAATCTAAAGGAGTTATGACCCCATTCTATCACTATATTTTTGGTGTATGTATATATATGTGAATGTGAACCAGTTATGGTGAGTGTGTGAGCTAACGTTGTTTTTTTTAATTTTTTAATTTTTTAAATTTATATTTATATTTATATTTTTATTTTTATATATTTCTTTTTATTTTTTTTTTCTTTTCTTTGGTATTTTTTTTTTATTTTTTTTTTCTTTATTTTATATAATCATAAAAAAAATATTTATTAAATTATATGCCAATACTTACTCATCATTTAAAATATAAAATTAAAAGGTTATTTTTTAAATTTCTTTTTTAAAGACATATTCAGACTTTCAAATCCAAAATATTTATATTCTTTTTATCCATCGAAATATAAAAAAAAAATAAAAAAAATAACTTTTAAAAAAAAAAAACTTAATCAAAAATTATTTTACCACGTTTATATATACAAAGGAAATAATTAATTATTTTTTATTTTATTCATTTTTCATTAAATTATTTGTATATTTATATTTTAATAAACTTATAAAAAATAAATTTTTTAATTTTTAAAAACTAATCAATATAAATCATAGATTTAAAGTTATTTCAAAGCTTAAATTATTAGGGTTAATCACTATAAAAACCCCTAAATGTTTGGTCTGGTAAAAATAAATTAAAAAATAAAATAAAAATTAAAAAAAAATAAAATTTAAAAAAAAAAAAAAAATAATAAAAAAAAAATAAAAAAAATAAATTATAATGTCCACCAACTCAGTAAAGTCGAATAGTATTGATAAAAGTAAGAAATATTTATATTTTATTTATTAATTATAAATATAAAAACAAATTTTAATTAACATATTTTTATTATCTCTCAAAAAAAAAATTTTTTTTTTTTTTTTTTTTATTAAATTTTTAAAATTTTTTTTATTTTTTATTTTTTAATAATTTAAAAATTTACAGAGAAACACAAGAAAAAAAAAGATAGTAATAATAGTTATAGCAATAATAGGTCTTTTTCATCACAGTCATCACTATCAACAACACAGTCTAGTAGTAGTTCTATAAATAACACAACCACAACATCTAAATCATTTTTTAGTTTTTTTTCAAAATCAATATTCAGGTCGTATAAAAAATCTTCGTCGTCACCACAAATTAATGATAATAGGGACGATAATAAAATAATAACAGAAAACACTACCAATAGCACAAAGATAACTAATACTATTAGTAGTTCATCAATAACAACCACAACCACAACATCTGATACAACAAATAATATATTAGATACTAGAACTGAAATTGAAACTAATAGTCCAAAACACTATTCTATTTCAGCTTTTAGTCCATCTTCTAATTTATCATCTTCACCAAGTAATAGTACAAATCCACCAAATTTATTGTCAAATTCACCAAAGTTTTCAAATTTTTCATTAGAGGGAGGTTACTCATCTCAAAAAGATTTAAAAATAGACGATTATTTTAATTTAACTACCACCCAAATTCCAAACTCTAATCTATTACATAGATTAGATAGTAGAATGGTTGGAATTTTGGTATGCACATCATTTAATACAAATTAAAAATTCTTTTTTTTTTATTAAACTAACCAATAGCTTTTTTTTTTATAGGGTGAAGCAGATATTAATAAATGTAAAGAGATTATACCTAAAGATCAACATTTTATAACTGGTTATTCTTTAGTTTTGGTTACATTTAATACAATTTTGCAACCGAAATTAATTAAAACATTCACATCAAGTCCGGTCGCATTATTAATTTCTGATAAATCAGCATTTTTAGTTTTATTTGATACAAGATCTCAAACCATTCAACAAGTAGAATCATGTGATTTAACAGAGATTAAAGATGTTCACTCTGGTTATATGTCCAGTAATATTACAAATAGTAATCAGTCAGCTAATAATAATAATAATAGTAATAATAGTAATGGTGACAGCAGTAGTAATCAAGTCACCAATTTAATGGAGGAAGGTGTTTCAATATCACCAAGAACACCAAAGAAGAATTTAGGTTCATTTGTTTTAAGAATTGTTAAAATTAAAGGGTCATGGGTTTTAATGGGCTACTCACCAACTGATTCACCAGAGGTACAAAGAGAAAAGATTAAAACCATCGAGGCTACTATCAAGTCAATTATAGACAAGGCTAAAATGCAACACAAGATTGAATCAAAATTAGAAAATTCTGAAAGAACTCATATCCCAATTGCATACTACCAACCAAAAACAGATATACTTGTAGAGGGTGAAATTTATTTCAATCTTAAAAAGTTTTCATTCATCCAAAAAGCTGGAAGTGGTTTATTTAACAACAACAATAATAAAGAAGATCACAGTTTTTCGATCGATTTAATTTCAATTTTTGAATGTAGATATACAACATCAACAATTATAGATGGTTACTGGGAATTAAAATTAGCATCACAAGGTGAACAATCAAATCAACAATACTTTTTATATTTACCAAAATTAGAGTAACTATTAAAATACAACTTGGAATATATGCTTTATAATATATTAATACTAATATTTTTAATATTTTTCTACAGCATCGAAAATATCACTAAAAATATTGCAAGAATGATTACAGAAAGTCAAGATATTGCATTACTAGGTTATGATGAATCTGCCACATTAGATAGTATTGACGAAATGAATTCAAATATTTCATCTTTAGATTTAGATAGTATTAATATTGGTTGTAATAATTATAATAGTAATAATAATGGAAATAATAACAACAATAATAATCAACAACAGCCACAACAACAACCACAACAACAACCACAACAACAATCACAACAACAACAACCACAAAATAATAGAAATCCAGAGATGAATAATTCGATTGATAGAAATTTATTAAGCGATAATACTGTATATAGAAATTTAAAAAAAATTCAATCAACTTATGAAACTATTGATCTTAGTGCTCAAAGAGATTTAAATGAAAATAATTTTTATTTAATCGAGGGTGATGAAGAGGATGAGGACCACAGTAAAATTTATACAGATTTTCAAATTAGAAATCAATTCGTTACTTCACTCGATAATAACAAACCAAACTCTATTCCCACAGAGATTCATTTTCAAGGTAAATCGGATTTATTAAAGGTAGATGATATGTTATGGCTCCAAAGTTATTTCCCAACCCGTTTAAATGACGAACCATTCGAACTTGTTTACAGCACATTAAAGCATGGTATTAGCATCAGAACCTTTTTTTCAAAAGTTGCTCAAAGATCACCATGTATCCTCGTTATCAAAGATGACTACAAGAACATTTTTGGTGCCTATACATCCGATCCTTGGAATAGTGAAAACAAGGTTCACTATGGAAGTGGTGAAACTTTCCTCTTTAAACTAACTGGACAAAGGAAGAAATTCTCTTGGACTAGAAAGAATGATAATTTCATGTTTTCAAATGGTTGTATCTCTTTGGGTACAGGTGATAGTAGCGCAGCTTTTGGTTTGTGGATTGATGAAGACCTTTATTATGGTAGCTCTGTTAAATGCAACACATTCGATAATGAAGTTTTAGCCCATAGCTCAGAGTTTAAAGTTTTGGAAATAGAGGTTTGGTCTTCGGTTTCTAGTAAAGCTCAAGCTACCGAAAAGAAACAATTAAATGCAAGAGACTTTTTCGGTACAACTGCTACTTACCTTAAACCTTCTTCATTTAAATTTTAAAAGTCATCCCATCAATATTTTTAAAAATAAATTTCAATATATAATAATTTTAAACATACATATAGTTTAGAAAAAAAAAAAAATTTTATCACAAGCTTAACATTTTAATAAAAATTTTATTTTAAATGTTTAAATTTTTGTTTTATTTTATTATTAAAAAAAAAGATAAATTGTGCTAGTCTTCTTTAACATTCAACTTTAACATTGTCAAAGATACCAACAGTTAAGCTTTTAACGATATAACCAAAGCTATATTGTTCGAATGGGTTAATGATTGAATGCCATGATGGTAGTCTATATACTTCAGTTGCGGTATCTTTATCTACACCCCAAATTTGATCAATATTGTTCATTGTGAAGTTAAATGAGGTAATTGGTTTGGAACCTTTGTTTTTGATTATTGCTTCGGTTAGGGTATATGGATAAATGTGTGAATTATTCCATTGAGAAGTAATTGTTTGAATAATTTCGTAATTACATTTGTTATTACCACCACCAGTTGGGACTACTAAAAGTGAATTTGAAATTCTATCATCGACAATAACACGAACATAAAATGGTGTGGATGTTGGTGTGATACTGTTGGTCATTAAAATAATACCTGAAAAGAATGAAAGTGGTGTGTTTTTCCAACCTTGACCGTTTTGATAATCAACTTGTAAAGTAATTTTAGTGGAGTCAATACCGAATTTGTGACCATAGATTGTTAATGATGTACCAGTAGAGTTAATGGCGCTGGTGGTATCGAGTACTGGATTGTTTGAATAGGTTACTTTAATAGTGCCTTGGAAACCAAGTGATTGGAGATCAGTAGTGGAATAACCATTGATGTTTAATTGATTATCAACAATACCGTAGACTGAAACAAGAATACCTTGGTATGAACCATAACCGTATGCTAATTGAATAGTACATGTATAGGTGGCAACACCATAAATATATGATGACAATTTGGCAACTTGTGAAATCTGTTCATCGAAAAAGATTTCTTTTGAGTCTTCTCTATCAAAATTTTTTGCAGTAATATAAACTACTGGGATATGTCTTGTTGAAATACCAGATTCATAGTCAGATGTTGTGAATGTGAATGTAATGTTTCTAAAGTCTTTGTAAACACCTACTTCGATGGTGTCGACTGATGGTGAGAAGCTGGTTAAAACTGGTGGAATGTTATCGACAATAGCTTGTGGACATGTAATATTTAAAGTTAAATGTGGAGAGTCTAAGAACTTCATTAATGGGTTAACATTTAATTTGGATGGTAAGAGTGAAGTGTGACCTTGGGTATCAGTAATTGAAGCGGATGAAATTCTAAATGATTGTGATCTACAGGTATTTGCCTTAATTGGGATTCTTAATTGATATGTACCGCTATTTGCATTTCCAGAAGTTGCGTTGGTTGGAGTTAATCTTAATATATATGGTTCTAAATCAAAGTCACTTGTAATATTGAATTCGGCAGATTTGAAACCATTTGGTGAATCTTCGATTCTAATATTCCATCCAATGTTTGTATTTTCGGTAATCTCGACATTATTTGATGGATAAGTAGCAAATTCTGTAATAATTGGTGGCATTTGATCTGCAAAGTTTGATTTAACTCTTAATTGGGCCTTTTCACCTACAGCATTAATAAGATAGTATGATTCATATGCTACTGGGTACATAATAAGGGAATAAAGAACATCACCAGTAAACAATCTAGCTGGAATTTGGAAATCTAAACAAAACATTCCTTTGGCGCTATTCCATGAACCGAGGTTTTCTGTTAAATCATCGAGTTTGAAAGAATCCATATTTAATGGACTTGGGAATAAATAGAAACGTGGAATCATATTCATACTTGAACCGGCAAAATTAAAACATAAAGTATTATTAACAGGACCATTTGAAACATCAACATCATTTTGTTTAAATTCGAATGCTGAAAAGGTAAATGGATCTAAATCGTGATATTCCTCTGCGTATTCTATAGATAATAATTTAGATTAGTTGTAAATTTAAAAATGTTTGTATATATTGATTAGATTTAAACATACTTATTGATGGGTAATCAGGAAGCATATTAAAGTTTGTATCGAAAATTGCTTTGGAACTATAAAATTGATTATAATTGTTTGCTACATCATAAATGTTAATACTTGGTTTTGTAGAACCACCCAAAAATCCTATTTGTTCTACTTTTTCATAAACACCATCGTAGATATCACCATAAACCAAATCGGCAGATGTTACCTTTAATAAATTGGTAAAATACAAAAATCCAATACCAGATTCAAGATCTCTTGCATGAACTCTAGTGAGTACTCTTTCAAACTCAAGAAAGATAGTTTCTACCTTTAAAAGTTGTGGAATAGTATTATCTAAAATTTTAATTTATAAATATTTTAAAATAATATGACATAATAATTATATTTGATTAAAACTTACCAGTAATATTACTTGGAGTTATGTCTATATTGTTAGATATTGTATCTGTTCCAACTCGGAAATATAAATAGTCTACATTTGATTTAGCTCTTGGAACTGGTAAAGAAACAGAAACAGAATGATAACCAACAGTACCATTAGAGTATCCGAATGGGTATCTTAATAACACTCTATTTTGGAGAATATTAGATGAAATATAGGCATTTTCGAAATAAGAGACATCAGCTTTAAGATTTACAATTGTATTGTTGGTGTGGGTATCTTCAAGATGGACTGATTTTAAATTCTCTATAATTGTGTCATATGATCTTTCTAATTTTTAAATACTTTAGCAAAAAATATTATTTTAGAAATAATTAAAATTAATGAATACTTACTACCAATATAAGCAATATTATCTGATCCGATCCTTTTAGTACCCTCGGTGTCAACAATATGAAGATGGGAAGAAACTGGACCATTACCGTTGAGTTCTGTGAAACCAATATAGGATGCATTTGATGGATTACCCAAAACTGGAATAAGGGTATTTTGAACATAATAGTTATTTGAATTTTCAATACCACAAATACCATTTTTGTTTAAAATATTAACATTGTAAATTGAACTTTTTAACATATCGGTGTAAGCAATAGAACCATTTTTTGGGTAAATTTCTGAACTTGAAATTGAGATTGGTGGATTTGATGGACTTTCTAAACCATCAAATGGACTACTATGTAAAACTCTACCTTGTTTATCGGAAATAACGACATTAAATGGAGTATATGGAGTTGGGTTCTTATAAATAACAATTTGGAACAAGAAATTGATAACCTTTTGACCATTGAGGGTTTGAGAGAAAATACAATAAAATGGTTGTGGAACTGTACAAACAAGGCCATCATATGGGAGAGATTTCTCGAGGCCATTAACTACAAATAACTTTTGCCAATATAAAAGACTCCATAAACCTTTAGTTGAAACCCACTTATCTTGTTTAGCTTGCATGGTAAGAGTAGTTGGAATTGGATCACAGTCAATAGTAGCATAATTGGTGAAATTCCATATTAATGATGGACGGACAGATGAGTATTCGAGTTGGAATGAAACTGGTTGGTTTTTACCGATTGGAACTTGATGTTGAATATTAAATAAATATAATGAACCATTTATAATAGATGGAAAACTGATTCCGGCTTCATTATTGGTTTTAAAATTATAATGTTGTGGATTTACCAGACCATCAAAATTAATTAAAACATCAATAATTGGGGAACATGAATCTGATGCATAAGTATCAATAGTAGGTTTTTCGAATCTTACAATTGTTGGATCTTAATAGTTTAATAGTTTAATTTATTGAATATTAATAGTTATAAAAAATTTAAAAAATGAAAAATGAAAAAATGAAAAATAAAAAAAGGGGAAAAATATAAATTAAATAAAAACGATTTCTTATAAACTCCTTTTATGTAAACGAATTACATACCATTTGAAAAAACTATATTAATTAATATTAAAAATGAAAAAATAAATGTAATAATTTTCATTTTTAAAATATAACTATACTATTTGAACACTTTTTAAAATTAAAAAAAAGAGTTTTTTTTAATTAATTTTTTTCACAGCAATTTTTTTTACGTAAAATTGTAAAAAAAAAATTCAAACAATATATCATCACATTTTAAAGATTTTTTTTTCTAATCTTAGATTATAAAAACCCAACCCATCACAAAAACTTAAAAAAAATTAAAAAAAATTAAAAAAAATTAATAAAAAAAAATATTTGTCTTTCGAAAATGAAAAAAAAACATTTTCCAAATTACGAGCATACTGGTATTACGAAGTGTTTAAAAATTAAATCATTTTTTTTTTAAAAAAAAGCGATAAAAAAAAAAAAAGAAAACGACAAAACAAAAGGATCGCATTGAGTAACTCTAAAATTTAATATGATTAAAAAAAATTATAAAATTTTTTTTTTGTTTATTAGAAAATTTATTTTTAAGAATCGAATAACATTAATGTAAGAGGTTAGCAAACAAATGTTGGTTCTTTAATTTCTGCCTCAACTGAACCTCCAAAGGTATAGCTAAAGATATATTGTTCGAATGGGTTAATGGCTGGATGCCATGGTAATGAATAGTTATTACCTTCTTTATCTACACTCCATATTTGATCAATATTGTCCATTTTGAAACTGAAATATGAAATTGGTTTGATACCTGTATTTTTAATAATAGCTTGAACTTGAACAAATGGAGAGTTTTGTGAATTATTCCATTGAGCAATAATTTTTTGAATAATTTCGTATTTGCATTGGTTATTACTACCAGTTGGGACTACTAAAAGTGAGTTTGAAATTCTATCATCGACAATAACACGAACATAAAATGGTGTGGATGTTGGTGTGATACTGTTGGTCATTAAAATAATACCTGAAAAGAATGAAAGTGGTGTGTTTTTCCAACCTTGACCGTTTTGATAATCAACTTGTAAAGTAATTTTAGTGGAATCGATGCCGAATTTGTGACCATAGATTGTTAATGATGCACCAGTAGAGTTAATGGCGCTGGTGGTATCGAGTACTGGATTGTTTGAATAGGTTACTTTAATAGTGCTTTGGAAACCAAGTGATTGAAGATCAGTAGTGGAATAACCATTGATGTTTAATTGATTATCAACAATACCGTAGACTGAAACAAGAATACCTTGGTATGAACCATAACCATATGGTAATTGAATAGTACATGTATAGGTTGCAAAGCCATTAGAGTAAGATGCTAACTCACTAACTTTAGAGATTGGATTGTTGAATCCTTTTGCTGTGAGATAGATAACTGGAATATGTCTTGTTGAAATACCAGAGCCTGAGTCGGTTGTTGTGAATGTGAATGTAATGTTTCTAAAGTCTTTGTAAACACCTACTTCGATGGTGTTGACTGATGGTGAGAAGCTGGTTAAAACTGGTGGGGTATTATCGACAATAGCTTGTGGACATGTAATATTTAAGGTTAAATGTGGTGAGTCTAAGAACTTCATTAATGGGTTAAAAAAGTAGACTGATGGTAAGAGTGAAGTGTGACCTTGGGTATCAGTAATTGAAGCGGATGAAATTCTAAATGATTGTGATCTGCATGTATTTGCTTTAATTGGGATTCTTAATTGATATGTACCGCTATTTTCATTACCTGAGGTTGCATTAGTTGGAGTTAATCTAATTGTATATGGTTCTAAATCAAAGTCACTTGTAATATTGAATTCGGCAGATTTAAAACCATTTGGTGAATCTTCGATTCTAATATTCCATCCAATGTTTGTATTTTCGGTAATTTCGACATTATTTGATGGATATGTGGCAAATTCTGTAATAATTGGTGGCATTTGATCTGCAAAGCTTGATCTAACTCTTAATTGAGCTTTTTCTCCAATATTACCTATAAGATGAGGAGATTCATAGTAAAATGGGGATATATAGATTGAATAAAGTGCATCACCAGTAAACATTCTTGCTGGAATTTGGAAATCTAAACAAAACATTTCTTTGGCATCATTCCATGAACCAATAAAAGCCTTTTCTTCAAAACCATAGTTTAATGGATGTGAATATAAAGTAAAACGTGGAATCATTGTTTTATTTGAACCAGCAAAGTCAAAACATAAAGAATTATTAGCTGGGCCGTTTGAAACATCGATATCATTGTATATAAATTCAAATGCTAAAAATGAGAGTGGTTCAAGACCAGTGGTTTCTTTAATATGAGCTATAATAAAATAAAAATGGTAAGTATATTTTAAATTTCTTTTATTGATATAGATCAAATACATACTATATAGTGGGTAGTCTGGGAGTTTATTTAATTCTGAATCAAAGATTGGTTGGTTACTTTTGAATTCGACATTGTTGTTTGCGCCATCATAAAGGGTTATATGTGGAGTTTTTATACCTGAATAAGAATAAAAAGTTTCAACAATTTCATAAACACCATTAAAGTTATCGCCATAAACTAAATCTGAGGAGGTTAATTTTGAAAAAGTTAGTTCTATGTGATCAATACCAGATTCAAGATCTTTTGCATAAATTCTAGTAATAACCTGTTCGAAATTAAGGAAAACAGTTTCAACTTTTAAAACTTGTGGATTTGTAGTATCTAAAATTAAAATAAATAAAAAATTAGTTTTCACATTTCCAAATATATTTAAGATAAATAATTCTTACCTATAAAATCGCTTAAAACTACTGAAGATTCCTCAACAAGATTATGTGATAATACTATAGAGATTGAACCGTTTAAATTTGAGCTTGCTCTAGGAACAGGGAAAGATGCAGAAACAGTATGGTATTTGATTGTACCTTTAGAGTAACCAAATGGGTATTTTAAAGGTATGTTTTGTTCAAACATTTTTGAATAGAAATAAGAATCTGTGGCATGTGAAGCATCTGCATTAATATTTATGATAGAGTAATTAATTAAAGTGTCCTCTACTTGAATTGAATTTCCATTTTCAATAATTCCATTATTATCATTTTTGGCTAAAAATAAAAAACAATTAATATTAGTTTTAAAACTATAATATAAATAATTAAATTACTTACTAAAATAAACATAGTGATAATCACTAGCTCTCTTGTTACCTTGAGAATCTGTAATTTGAAGATTTGAAATACTTGGACTATTACCCAATAGCTCTGTAAAGCCAGCATATGATGCATTAGAAGGGCTTCCATAGAATGGAATTAGAGAGTTTTTAATAAAGCCATCATTTAATGAATCGACACTACAGATACCTTGATAATTTAAAATATTCATTACATATACTGTAGTTTTGAACATTTCGTCAGTGTGCACAGTGGAACCATTTTTTGGGTAAACTTCTATACCTGTAATTGAGATTGGTGGATTGGTTGGACCTTCTAAACCATCAAAGACACTAGTATGCAAAACTCTACCATAAATATCGGAAATAACAACATCAAATGGGGTAAATGGGGCATTCATCTTTAGAGAAATAATTTGAAATAGGAAATTAATATCCTTTGGTCCATTGGTATGCTCTTGGATAACACAATAAAATGGTTGTGGAACATTACAAGTAAAAACATCATATGGAGCTGACTTTTCGAGACCACTAACTTCAAACCATTTTAACCAAAATAAGGTACCCAATCCTCCTTTATTTGAAACCCATGTGTTTTGTTTAGCTTTAATTGTGAGATTGGTTGGGATTGGATCACAGTCAATAGTAGCATAATCAGTAAAGTACCAGGTTATTTTTGGAGATACTGATGAATCTTGAAGTTGGAATGAAACAGTTTGATTTTGACCAACTGGAACTCTATGTTGAACATTAAATAAATATAACGAACCATTTATAATTGATGGATAACCAAACCCACCAGCACTACTGTAGGTAAATTTATCCTCTGGTACTGAGCTTTTATATTGTATTAAAACATTAAAAACAGTTGTACATGAATCTGAACCATAAGAATCTGTATTTGGTGAATTAAATCTTACAATTGTTGGATCTATATAAAATTATATATTTTGGTATAGTATTTAGTATAATAAAATAAATGGTAAATAATGATTAAATAAATTTTAAATACCAATTGAATATACATTATTTATTAAAAATAAAAATGAAATTATTAAAGTTATAATTTTCATTTTTTTATTTTTTTTTTAAATAATTAAAAGTAAAATAATGATGAACATTTTTTTTTTTTTACAAATTTTTGAAAAACACTGTTGTGATATTTGTCGTTCTCGTGAATATCAAAATAATTAAAATAGCACACCAAAAAAAAAAAAAAACGATTAAACTTTCTTTTAAAAATTTTAATCGTTTTTTTTTTAATCTTAGATAAACAAAAAAAAAATTGCGACAAAAAAAAACTGCTTTAATCTTTAAAAAACATAAAACTCGTTTTTTTTTTTTAAAAAAATTTTTTAAAAGAAAAAAAAATATGAAAAATTAAATTTTTAAAAGAAAAAAAAAAAAAAATCTTGGGTTGGGTCTGAAAAAATTAAAAATTCGAAAGCTAATAAAGATTTAAATAATTTGGTGGTGAATTGTTTAAAAAAAAAAATATTTGTTAAAGTTTATTTAATTCAAGGAAATAGTGAAATAAAAAACTATATTAAATTAATAAAGGACGAGTTTTGATTTTAACAAACTGGATTAGGATTAATAAATTGACCAACTGTTGAGCTTTTGACGATATAACCAAAGATATATTGATCAAATGGATTAATGATTGGGTTCCAAGAAGGTAAAGTATATTCTCCAGTAGCAGTATCTTTATCTACACCCCAAATTTGATCAACATTGTCCATTTTGAATCTAAATGATGTAATTGGTTTAGAACCAGTATTTTTAATTACAGCTTGGGTTTGGGTATATGGATAAATTTGTGAATTATTCCATTGAGCAACAATTGTTTGAATAATTTCATATTTGCATTGGTTATTACCACCACCAGTTGGGACTACTAAGAGCGAATTTGAAATTCTATCATCGACAATAACACGAACATAAAATGGTGTGGATGTTGGTGTGATGCTGTTGGTCATTAAAATAATACCTGAAAAGAATGAAAGTGGTGTGTTTTTCCAACCTTGACCGTTTTGATAATCAACTTGTAAAGTAATTTTAGTGGAGTCAATACCGAATTTGTGACCATAGATTGTTAATGATGTACCAGTAGAGTTAATGGCGCTGGTGGTATCGAGTACTGGATTGTTTGAATAGGTTACTTTAATAGTGCTTTGGAAACCAAGTGATTGGAGATCAGTAGTGGAATAACCATTGATGTTTAATTGATTATCAACAATACCGTAGACTGAAGCAAGAATACCTTGGTATGAACCATAACCATATGGTAATTGAATAGTGCATGTATAGGTGGCAACACCATTAGCATATGATACTAATTTGCTAACTTGTGAAATCTGTTCATTATAAAATGTTGTTGAGATATAAAATCTATCAAAGTTCTTAGAAGTTAAATAAACAACTGGGATATGTCTTGTTGAAATACCAGAGCCTGAGTCGGTTGTTGTGAATGTGAATGTAATGTTTCTAAAGTCTTTGTAAACACCTACTTCGATGGTGTTGACTGATGGTGAGAAGCTGGTTAAAACTGGTGGGGTATTATCGACAATAGCTTGTGGACATGTAATATTTAAGGTTAAATGTGGAGAGTCTAAGAACTTAATTAATGGATTAATATTCAAGTTTGATGGTAAGAGTGAAGTGTGACCTTGGGTATCAGTAATTGAAGCGGATGAAATTCTAAATGATTGTGATCTGCATGTATTTGCTTTAATTGGGATTCTTAATTGATATGTACCGCTATTTGCATTTCCAGAAGTTGCGTTGGTTGGAGTTAATCTAATTGTATATGGTTCTAAATCAAAGTCACTTGTAATATTGAATTCGGCAGATTTAAAACCATTTGGTGAATCTTCGATTCTAATATTCCATCCAATGTTTGTATTTTCGGTAATTTCGACATTATTTGATGGATATGTGGCAAATTCTGTAATAATTGGTGGCATTTGATCTGCAAAGCTTGATCTAACTCTTAATTGGGCCTTTTCACCAAGAGCATTGGTAAGAAAATATGAATCATATACATATGGAGAAATTAAAACACCATAAAGTACTTCTCCTGTAAAAACTCTAGCTGGAATTTGGAAATCTAAACAAAACATTCCTTTGACTTCATTCCATTCACCTGGAGTGGCATCTGATAATGAGGCAGCTTCGGTATTTAATGGACGTGGGAAAATTAAGAAACGTGGAATCATAGTTTTATTTGAACCAGCAAAGTTAAAACATAAAGAATTGTTAGCTGGGCCATTTGAAACATCGATATCATTTTGTTTAAATTCGAAAGCAGAAAAGGTATATGGCTCTAAATCAGCATGCTCTTGGACATATCCTAAAGAAATTTAAACAAAATATTAATATAAATTTTAAAAACAATTCAAAAAAAAATATAATACAAACTATAAAGTGGGTAGTCTGGGAGAATATTAAACTCTGTGTCTATAAGTGGTTGGTAACTGGTAACCTGAACAGTATTTCCAGAGTTATCTCTTACGCTGACTGTTGGTTTTTTGGTACCAAAATAAGTTTGGAAGGTTTCTACAGATTCATAAACACCATTATAGTTATCACCATAAACTAAATCGGCAGCAGTCATTTTAGCCATATTTGTTAAGTACAAAGAGGCGACACCAGATTCAAGATCTTTTGCGTAAACTCTGGTGATGACTCTTTCAAAATCAAGGAATACAGTCTCGACCTTTAAAATTTGTGGTAAAATTGAGTCTAAATTAAAAAAATTTATTAATAATTTGAATATAATGGTTATAAAAAAATTTAAACATACCAATAATACTACTTGGGGCAACATTAAAAGATTGACCATTTCTTTTTGATAAAGTACATTGGAAATAATTGTTAACTGTATTTAATGAACTTGGGACTGGGTAAGAGGCAGAAAGGGAGTGATATTTAATTGTACCGTTTGAATAGCCAAATGGATATTTAAGAATCATTGATTGTTCCAAAAAGTTTGATGAAACTTCAACAATTGGGGAATATGTAATATCAGCTTTAATATTAAGAATAGTGGTATTAATGAAAGTATTAAGAGCTTGGGCAGAACTTGGGTTATCAAAAATATCTGGGTAAGTTTTTTCTAAGATAATAATAATTAATAAATAAATAAAATAAAATCATTAAAAAAAGTATAAATATATAAATTACTTACTATCAAAGAAAACATAATTATCTCCACCAATTCTTTTGGAACCTTGGGAATCTACAAGTTGAAGATTTGAAATACTTGGACTAGAGCCAATTAATTCGGTGAAACCAATATATGCAGCATTTGATGGATTTCCATAAAGTGGAATTAAAGTATTTCCTACATATACAGTGCTTGAAGAGTCAACACTAACTACACCCTTATAGTTTATAATATTCATTGTATACATGGCATTCTTTAAAATGTCATCATTATAAACACTGGAACCATTTTTTGGGTAAACTTCTAAACTTGTAATTGAAACTGGTGGATTTGATGGACTTTCTAAACCATCAAATGGACTACTATGTAAAACTCTACCTTGGCTATCGGAAATAACGATATTAAATGGAGTATATGGAGCTGAGCTTTTACGAAGAGCAATTTGGAATAAAAAGTTTTTAATCTTTGGACCATTGAGATATTCAGTGAAAAAACAAACAAATGGCTGTGGAACTGTACAAACAAGACCATCACTTGGTAGAGATTTCTCGAGACCATTAATTACAAATAACTTTTGCCAATATATAAGACTCCATAAACCTTTAGTTGAAACCCACTTATCTTGTTTAGCTTGCATGGTAAGAGTAGTTGGAATTGGATCACAGTCAATAGTAGCATAATTGGTGAAATTCCATACTAATGATGGATAGACAGAGGAGTCTTCGAGTTGGAATGAAACTGGTTGGTTTTTACCGATTGGAACTTGATGTTGAACATAAAATAAATATGATGTACCATTTATAATTGATGGATAACTCATTCCAGCTTCATTCTTGGTTTTAAAATTATATTGTTGTGGATTTACAATACCATCATATTTAATTAAAACATTAAAAATTGGACGGCACAAATCTGATGCATAAGTATCAACAGCTGGGGATTTAATTCTTACAATTGTTGGATCTAAATAGTTTTAAGGAAAAAGAAATAATTATTAGTATGGGTTATATAGTAATAAATAACTATAGCAAGATAAATACCAATTGAAGATACAATATTTATTAATAAAATAGAAAATAATAAAGTTATAAATTTCATTATTTTTTTTAAATATAACTATAATTATATGATATAGTTATTTGAACACTTTTAAATTTTTTATTGAAAAAAAAAAAAATAGAAAATCTTAAATAGTTTTTTCTTTGTATACAAAATATTTTTTTTTGAGAACATTTTTTTTCCTGTATCGATCAGATGGACACTAAGTTGAAACCATGTTCGAATTAAAACTACACTTTTTATTGTAAATTATTATTATAAAGGTCGAAAAAAATTAGTCATTATGAAAAAAAAAAAACAAGTAATGCCTTTTCGACAAATTTGGAACGAGTGATTTTCGAAAAAAATAAAAAATAAAAAAAAAAATAAAAAAAATTTAAAAAAAATGCAAAATCTTAGATGGTTTTTATGATGGGATCACTATAGAAAATGAAAGAAAAAAGGAAATAAAAAAAAAAAAATTAAAAAAAAATAATTATTAACGATAAAAAACTGATTATCTTTAATTTGTGAAATGATTATGCTAATATTTTAGGTTATTTTGAAAAAAAAAATACACCAAAATTTAGAAAATCGAAAAAGAATTATTTATAATAAATTATGAACTATCATTTGGTTCTACTCGGAATTTTTTTTGTGATTTTCTTTATAAAATATTTTTATTTTAATTTTTTTTTTTTTATTGTCTTTTGATAATGATGACCCTTACATTAATCTTTTTTTTTTAATTGTAAAAAACTTTTCGGATTTGAAAAAATAATGGGCCACATGTGATTATAATAAAAAATACAAAAAAAAAAATAAATAATTTAATCTTTAAAGTTTTTCATTGGAATAAGAGAAAAATTCTTATTTAAAAGAAAAAAACCGAAAACAAAATGTTGTGTAGAGTGTCTTTTTAAATATTAATATTTTTAAAACAACAAATCAAAACTATAATAAAAACTAAAACGAAAAAAAAAAAAAACCCATCTTATTTTTTTAATTAATTATTTTAAACATAATATTATTTATCAAAAAACTCTTTTTTAATTTATATTAATTATATAGTTAATTTATTATAATATTTAGATAGTTTTCAATTAAATAGTTATAAAAGAAAAAAAAAAATTATGCCCAATAAAAAAAAATAAAACGCGCAATAAAATAGTTTTGAAAAAAAAATATTTTATATGTTTAAACATATATATATTTTAAAGCATATATATATATTATTAACCCTATTCTGTTTTTTTATATATTTTCAAATAATGAAACCACATTCTACCAAATATAATAAATAAATGAATAAATAAAAAAAAAATAATTTTTAATAAAAAATAAATCCAAATGTGGTAAATGTATTTTTTTATTTAAATTTTTAATTTTTTTTTTTTTCTTTATTTTACATAAATTATATTGTTTTTGTTTATATAAGCATTTATATTTAAATAAATAAAAGATTTTAAACTAAAAAATGAGTGAAAAGAAACCCATTGGTAAATATAATTATATTTTTTTCCAATTTAATAATTTCTTTAATTTAATTTTTATGTACTGGATATTTTTTTTTAAATTATAGTCATTGATGTCGGAACATATAATTTCAAAGTAGGATTTAGCGGAGATAAATACACCACATTTCCATCTATGTATGGTGAAGATAAAAGAAAGGTTATTGTTGGAAAAAAATTATTTGAAGATGAAAATGAAGGTGGTTTATCAAAAGAAGAATGTGATAGTATAATGGTAAAATCGGTTTTAGAACGTGGGATTGTCAAAAATATTGAAAAGTTTAATAAACTTTTAGAATATACTTTCGAAGATGTTTTACATGTTTCACCAAATGAACATAAAATATTTTTAACAGAGCGTCCAAAGAACCCAAAAGAAAATAGAGAAAAGATCATAGAATCATTATTCGAAAAGTATGGTGCACCATCTATCTATATTGGTAATCAACAGGTACTATCATTATATGCATCCAATTTAACCAATGGTATAGTAATAGATTCTGGTGAAGGCATTACAAGTTGTGTACCTGTTTTTGAAGGTTATTCTTTTCCCAATGCTGTTGAAAATATAAATGTTTCTGGTATTGACGTATCAAATATCATAGCCAAAGAGTTGGTTAAAGAAAACCCAAACCATTCATCAATTTTCTCATCTTTCTATAACAACGAAAGCACAGTTACAAATATGAAAATTATCAAAGAGATCAAAGAGAAGCTATCTTTTGTTCCAATTGACTACCACAAAGAAATTTTAGAATTACAACAAACTGAAAATCAACACAGACAGTCATTCAAATTGCCTGATGGAAAGGAAATTAAATTAAATAATCAAATTTTATTAAGTGGTGATGTTTTGTTCAATCCCAATCTAGTTAATCCAAATGAAAACCTCAGCCTTGTTGAAGCAACCATTCAATCAATCAACAAATGTGATGAAATCATTCAAAACTCTCTCTACAACAACATTGTTATTGCAGGTGGTTCAACTTTGTTCAATGGATTTGTTTCTCGTTTAAAAGAAGAGCTTTTGAAGACCGTTCCAAAGAATGTCAAAATCAATTTAATAGCACCTCTAGACCGTGATTACTCTTCTTGGATAGGAGGATCAATTTTAACATCACACTCTAGCATGGAAAAGTTGTATGTCACCAAAAATGAATATTTAGAAAATGGTCCAAGTATTATTCACAAAAAATGCTTATAAATAATTTTACTATCAAGCAATAAATAACTAAATTTGTTTTTTATTTTTTATATTTAATTTTTTATGTTTATTTTTATTTTTTTAAATTTGATGTGAAACTTCAAATAATTTAATAGAACTTTCACGGACTAATTGTAATATTTCTTGTAATTCTTTCTTTGAGAAGACAGAGTACCATTTATATTTTTCATTTGAAATTTGATTACAAATCTTTGTGCTCTTTTTAATTGAACCTACACCAACTAAAACGGTATGGAGTGATTTGAATAGATTTGGTATACATTTCATTCTAAGAGTATTAATAGATTGGCCATTTTCATCATCCAATCCAAATTCACCAGTTTGATTTTCTAATGGACATAACCAACCTGTATTTAAAACTGATTTAATTGATTCCAATGCCTCTTTTCCAAAAGTAATATTGTTTTGATTCCATTGACCATATAATTCTTCATATTCTTTCTTTCTTCTTTCGACATCTAATTTTTCTGCATATGATTCTTTACCATTTCTTATTTTTTATAAAAAAAAAATATAGAGTTAATAAATATTTTACAAATAAATATATATTTGAAAAAAGTATAAAGTACATACAATTTAAATGAAGATAAATCAACTTTTGGTTGATTGGCGTAATTATGTAACCAATTATTAATACGTGTATTTGATGCAATGTAGTTTTCCCAATCTCTAAATTCTTTGATGATGTTGTTTGTATCGGATTCTGAAAGTTGTGATTGCTGTTTAGCAACGAGTATTATATCTTTTGGTAAAGATTTTAACAATTCACCGGATGCACTAAATTTATTTAATTTAATGAACTCACGAATTAAATGGTTGCTTTGAAGTAAAGCTTTGATGAGTAATTGCTTATCAAAGCATAACCATTTGATTGATTCAATCTTGGAGAGGTCATCTGGTGTTGTAGTACTTGGATCAATAGAATCGGTTATTGGAAGTTTGGTTAAAATATCTGTTGATGATGATGCTCCTGTTGCTGATACCAATGCTGCTATTGATTTGTTTTGGGCTATGGTTGATTTCATACCACCAAATCCTAAATAATCCTCACCACTGTTAATAATAGTTGGTTTAATGGTTTCACCTGATGTAATAACATTGTTTACAACTGTTTCTGCAATCTCTTGTCTATTTAAACCAAATCTTTCTGCTAAAAATAAACATTGTTTCATTTGAGCTTGATCAGTTATATTAACTAAGAATTTAGAATAAACCTTGGTTTGTAAATCTTCATTGGTTAATAATGAAGTATATAATGCAACTAAATCATACTAGATAAAGAAAATAAAAAATTAATATTGACTTTTTTTTATAAAATAAAAAAAAATTTAATATACATACTTGATGGGATCTGATTAAATATTGAATATATTCATTGATGACTATATTTTCTGAACAATCTTCTGAATCTGAAATGATTGAATATGATTCTCTTTTTCTATAAAATACAATTAAAAATATTGCAAATCTATTAAATTCTGGTGTTCTATTCCTATAAATATTAAAAATAAAAAAGAGATTTGTGTTAGAGACATAGTTCATAATTTATGTATTTATACATAAATATAAATATTTACTTTAATAATAAACTTGGTAAAATTTCAAATAATAATTGATAGTTATCGTTAATAACTAATTCTTGAATAATGTGATATGGATTTTGAGCTTGATTTCTAATTTCGATTTGAGAGGCTTCATTTTTTAAAATCTCTAAAATATCATTTGGAGTATTAATTTGAGAGATGTTGTTGGATGGTGAGGTCTCGAGATCTTCTTCGACTGATAATGGGGATCTGTATGGTTTTAATTCTCTGTAAATGGTTTCATCAAAGAGAACACGTAAATAACACCAAAAATAATCATACCAATTCTTTTGGATTGGTAAAACTGCATCGAGATTACCACCTAATAAACCATAGATTGCCTTTTCGTATGAGTCATTTGAATTTTTTGAAATGTTAAAACAATTGCTTTTCCAAAGGTTAAAGAATGGATTACCAATGTCGCTTTCGCCGTTATAATAAATTTGACCCATAAAAGTTTGTGCTCTCCAATATTGCTCCACTTCTAAACAAAGACTAATTGCTTTTTCAGTAAGACCGGCTCTAAGACAACCCCAAAGTGATTGTAAAAATTTATGTTGATTGGTTTCATCGCTTAAATCTATTTTCTTATTTTGACGTGTTGATGCATCTGGATCAAGTTCAGTGACCATATCATTTGAAAGCATTGAAACACCTCCTTTCTTTTGTAATTTTGATAATGTATGCTCTGAAAATACTCTATCGGTTGTATAATCAATTTCTGGTGCCATTTCTTCTAACCACTGTAAAATAATTGAGTTTTCGTGAATATTTTGATTCTTTTTAATTAAGTATTGGTATACCTGTGATTGGGTTGGATTGTTTAATTCAATCTTTTCATTTTGTTCTTTGGCTTTTAATATATCTCTATAATCGTATAATTTGCTAATAAGATTCCATGTATCTTTTTCCATTTGATAGTTATTTAATTGTTCATCTTTATAATTTTTATTAGCTGTTAAATAATATAATTTATTTCTATCTTCGTTTTCAATTGAATTAATTCTAAATTTAAATAATACTAGAGTTAGTATTTGATAAAAAAGATTAGAGTAGTAATATTGGGTAGTAGTTACTTTGCTTGTGAAATTTTATGAAATATATTTGATAAATGAATTGGTAATTCATCTGGGTTATTGATTTTTGGCTGAAAATATTCATTCTCTAACATATTGTGAAAAACAAAATCATCAGATCTTCCTTTATCATTAAAAATATCGTTATATTGTTGAATTTCATCTTCTTGCATACCTTCGTAGTCTGCTGTTAATTGATTTCCTTCAATGTCTTGAATTTGAATGTCATTATTATAACTGAATTGGTTATCAGATAATTCATAGTTATTAAAATTGGTTCTTAATGTTTGAGTACCAAATTGTGATGCACCAAATGTATCGATATTATTATTATTATTATGATTATTATTATTTAACATATTTTGTAGATCATCATCTCCTTCATCTGGTAAAATATCTAATAATTATAAGTTAGTAGAGGCTCTATTATTTGTAAAACAAAGATTATAATAATTTTATAGACTTACTAAAATTGAATTTATTATTATTATTTGAATTTGGATTAAAACTAAATAATGAATTTGTATTTAACGATGTTGAAAAATGGTCGTTATTATTATTGTTGTTGTTGTTATTATTATCATTATTGAGATTCCATTTGAAGGGGTTATTTTCAGTCATTTTTATTATCTGATAATGAACTAAAAAAAAGAAAAAAAAAAAAAATGAAAAATTTTAAAAAAATTAAAAAAAAAAAAACATGAAAATAAAAATAAAAAAAAAAGTAAAAAAAATTTAAATTTTTATATTTAATTATATATTTGTGTAAAATAAAAGAATTTTGGGTTAATCTAAAATAAAACTAAATTTGAAATTAATAATTATTTAGAACAACTTTCGAATATATATCCATTGTAAGTTGGAAATATTGCAAAATTAAAAAAAAAATAAAAAAAATAAAAAAAATATTTTTTTTAATTTATTTTTTCTCAAATTAATTTTTTATTTTATTTTTTATACCACAGCATATTCAAAGATTTTTAATAAATTATAAAAATGAAGGTTCTAGTATTACTTTTAAAGGTATATATGGCTAAATAAAAAAATAGCTGTTATTGTATTATATTTATTGTTTTTCTTTATTTATAAAAAATAGGGTTTTGAAACAATGGAGTTCTCTGTATTTGTCGATGTTATTGGATGGGCAAGAGAGGATGATGACGCTAATGATTGTAATATTAAAGTCGAAACATGTGGGTTAAATAAGCATGTTACAAGTACATTTGGAGTCCCAGTTATTGTTGATAAACTATTGGACGAAATCAACATCGATGAATATGATGCATTAGCATTACCAGGTGGTTTTGAAAGTTATGGATTTTACGAAGAAGGTTTTACAGATAAGGTTTCACAATTTATAAGGGAATTTTATAACAAAGATAAAATAATTGCATCAATTTGTGTAGCTGCATTGATTTTGGGTAAAAGCGGAATTTTAAATGGTAAAAAAGCAACAACATATAGATTAAGAGATGGCCATAGACAAAAGCAATTAGAGGCAATGGGCGGCATCACAGTTTTAAAAGATCAACCTATAGTTGTAGATGGTAAAATAATAACATCATACAATCCTCAAACTGCACCACACGTCGCCTTTAAACTCTTAGAATTATTGACCTCAACAAAAAAAATGAATACAATTAAATATTTAATGGGTTATTCAGATGAAGCCAATTAAAAATAAACAAATAAAAATAAAAACAAACAAATAAATAAACTAAATTTAAAAAAAAAAAAAAAAAAAATTTATAATTTTTTAGTTTTATTACTGCCCAGTTTTTTATGTGGGTTTAATTGTATTGTTTTCAATTTGATAGAGCAGCTAAAAACTTACCAAAAAACAAATAAAATAAATTATATTTTTTAATTTAAAATTAAATAAAAAATTCGTTATTTATTTTTTGATTTTGATTTTAAAATGGTTTTGATTTTGATTTTGGTTTGGGGTCATCCTGCAGTCAATAAAATAATAGTTTATAAAAAAATAAAAAAATATCTTTGCAAATTAATACAATATATTACTATTACTACTTTAAATTATTATTATTATTATTATTGTTATTGTTATTGTTATTGTTATTGTTATTGTTATTGTTATTGTTATTTACTTTATTCTTTAAATGTTATTTTGGTTTGTTGGGGTTCTTATTATTATTATTATTATTGGGTAGTTGGTTTGCTGTGGTTGTTGTTGATATTGGATTTATTTGTTGTTGTATTGTACATGTATCACCAAGATTTGAAAACCTTTTTGAAACTCTTTTGGCCCATGTCTCTGGAAAAGTATTCCATGAACTGGTTGATGTGAATTCTAATAGATCAACAAGACACTTTGTTGAACAAAAATGGTATGTTTGGTTTGGATTCGTTGGAGCAAAAATGTAAAGATCTCTTCTTGGAGGGCTATTGTAATAGCATCGTTTTTTAGCAATCTCCAATGCACATAGACCGACATTTGGTGTGATTTCATTGTAGCCGTGAATGGGTATCTTCTTTTTTTCTAAACAATATTGAAAAACTTGATCAAATCCACGCTTCAGTATACCATCTTTACAATGAGAACTGGTTTCGCACAATATGAATACATGGCCATTGACATAAAATATGACGTTGTTTTTATTTCTACCAGTAACAGGTTTGTGGCAGTTGATCGCCAAGCACACTTTGCTATCATCTGTCAGGTGTATGATTCTCTTTATATTTTCCTCAGTTAAAAATTTGTGGTTATAGTAAACCTCAACCATTCCATCTCCTTCATCATTACTTGACACGATCGATCCTATTGATGCTGATGCTACATTCGGAGCTAAACTACGTGGAATACTTTTACGATGGGTATCATCGTCTTCATCATTACTATTGTCATCAAAAAGGATTCTACCTCTTACAACTGTTTGACGTGGATAAACTCTACGAACACTACTGTTGTTGTTGTTATTATTATTACTACTACTACTACTACTACTATTACTATTATTATTATTATTATTATTTAAAATACTGTTTATATTATTTATATTATTTAAAGAATTACTATTAATTAAATTATTATTATTTATATTGTTTTTAATGTTACTATTGTTACTGTTAGTGCTATTGCTGCTGTTATTTTCTTCGTTATTAGTTTCATCTCGGTTTTTTCTTTTTCTAGTTATAATTTCTTCAATAAAGGTATCTTGCTTTAATAAATAATTAAATTGATTACAGAATTTAGTCACATCGCAACCAATACTTTGTAAAAAACAACTAAGACAAAAAAACAAATGGACATTTCTATTCATTTCGTCGAGTGGTATACAACAAAATGGACATTGAAGTAGATTTGCAAGCGAAGGTTTGTTTTCGCCCACTCTATAAAAATTTCGTAATGAATGAGTACTTAAAAAATCCATTCCCAAAATAATAATCTATTTTTTCTATATACATAAAACAATATATAAAAATAAATAAATTATTAAATACAATAAATAGATTCGTTAGTTTGAATAAAAAAAAAAAAAAAAAAAAAAAAAAAAAAAAAAAAATTTTTTTTTTTTTTTTTTTTTTTTTGAAAATTTTTTAAAAAAATATTAATTAAACCAATGAATAGAAAAATTGATTATGATGCGCTATTTTTTTTTTATTTTTTTTTTTCTAATCAACTGGAAAATTTTTTTATTTTTTTATTGATTTTATTTATTATATATTTAATAACTTGATTTGGCGCATTTATTTTTAAAAAGATACAAAAAAAAAATTTTATAATAATAATAAAATAATTTTTAATAATGGAAAAAAAAAATTAAAAAAAAAATTAAAAAAATTAAAAAATAAAAATTAAAAAAATATATATAAATTAGGGTATCCCAACACTAATATGTCACCCCACTAGTGTTATACTACCATAATTATTTTTAATTTTATCACAAATAATGTTTTTTTTTTTTTTTTTTTTTGGTGTGAAAAAAACAAAGTAAACTTTTGTTTGTATTGAAATAAATATATATTTATAAAAATAGAAATATAATATTGGTACTAATATTAATTATAAACTACAAAAAAAACAATTAATAAAATAATAAGAAATGACTAAAAAAAATAATCAAAATAAAAAAAATCAACAACAAAAAAAAAAAAGAGATCCAAATGTTATTTATAATGGCAGTGAAAAAAGTATCAGTAATACTCCATCAACAGTATCCAACACTGTAGCCAATGATAATAATAAAAAAAGAGATGATCTCAGCTATGTGTTTGAAGGTTCAAATTTTAGTAATTACATGCAAGAGAACTTAAAAAATGATTCAGAAGGCTTTATTAAAAAAATTTTAGAAGAGTGTGAAAACCAAGCTGAAGATTTTGGTATTGATCCAGAGACATTCACAAAAATTTTTTTGCCAAAAAGTACCAAGGGGCCCCCTTGATTTTTTAAAAAAAAAAACTTTTTAAGAACTCTCCCAAAAAATTTACCGAGGGGGGTCTTTAAAAAAATTTTAAAAATTTTTAAAACCCAAATTTTTTTTTTTTCACAGGAAAATTTAATAAATAAAGGGGGGTTTATTCTTTTAAATAAAATTAAAAAAAAGTTTTCATTTCTAAACCATTATTTTTTTTTTTTTTTTTTTTTTTCAATTTATGGTTAACCATTTAAAATCTTCATAGTATTCATATTCTAAAAATAAATCTTTTAGATATTGTGTTAGTCTGGGATCGATTAGTTGATTTTGATATAGTTGTTTTAAAGTGGGAATACATTCGGTTTTTAGTAAATATTTAATTTCAGGTTTTGGTAATCTGAGCAATGGATGATTTGGGTATGTTTGAGCGAGTAGTTTTAATAAATCGATTGGAAAAATTTTAAAGTCTAATTTGTTACCATCAAAACTATCTGGATAGTTTTTAAGCAGAAATGAATATTTACCAAAGAGAGCTGGATGGATATTGGATACTATTTTAGGTTCAAAGACATTTGTAGTGCATATGGGAACATGAATTTCTTTATTACTAGATTTGTCGGTATATTTGAAAAGGACCATTTGATATTTTCTCATGACAGTGGCGAATAGATGTGGATACTCTTGAATCAACAATGTCATCAAACCCCAGTCGGCATAATCTAAAAGTACCTTATAGAATCTATATGAAATTTGAAAATAATTGAATGCATATGGACATTTTTCTTTGAGCAATTCTATATAACCCAACAATAAATCTACTCTTGAAATATCCATAAGGTAACAAAAGGAACGGTTGGTTAACTTGTTTACGATTCTTAAAGCATTAGGGTCAAAAAAATTATCTATGTTGATCTCTTGAAAGAATTGAAACATAAATCTCATCAGTAGAGCGTCGTTTATGTCATCGAATGGACTCTTAAATATAAACTCGAATGTGAAAAACTCTGGATCTAAAAAGTTTCTAATATTGAATCCATAATACAGTTCTTCAGGGTTGTCTGGGATGGAAATATTTGGGATTTCGTGATTTAAAAATGGCAAATCAAAGATATACTTGATAAATTTTTTAGATCTATTCCAAAGGTAGAAAAATGAAAACAATGATGATTTTTGAATCTCAGCCACTCCCGAACCATTAACCATGTTATAGGTGTATTGAATCTTTTCGAATGGAACATCTCTTTTGTTTTGAATTAAAAATTTAAACAAAAAATTTACAGCGGGGGTTAAAGCTACTTGACATGGAGGAAGACTACTACTACCGTTTGATGGCACTTGCTTTTTGGTATGTTCCAACAATAGGCTTATGATTTCAATAATATCATCTGGGCTACTTGTATGATAGTCTTGAGTGCTAAAAACATAGTTACCATGGTTGATTTTTAATACCAAATCAAACCCATAACTTTGACATTCGATACCTTTTATAAAATCATTATCTTTCCAAAAGTCACTCAAAAAGAAGCCACTAAAAAAAGTATAATCTTGAACAATTGGATTAAAATTAAGTTTGTTTAATAAAAAATCAACTCTTTTTTTTGAAAGTCTTCTAATTGAGTAAATAAAAACTGTAACCAATGTTTTAAAAATTTTTAATTGTTCCATTTCAAAAATTTCACATTTGTCTTCATAATATTTACCACTATGGCCTAAATATACTCTATTTAATAATGTTGATGCTGATGCTGATTTTGATGTTGATGCTATTAAAAAATCTAAATAGTAATAAAGACCTATAGGATTCTCTGACACACTAAAATAGTTAATTTGTTGAATAATGTAGGAAACCCCATTATCTGATAAACTGTTATTTAATATTGATTCATTGTATGGAATATATAGAAAATTAGGAATTCTCTTTTCGAAAATAGAATGCATGCTATATATATCGAATTTTTCTAATGCCTGACGTAGTGGATATTGAACTGCTTTATTTAATTCTAATTTTTGAAATACATTATTTATTTCTGCATAATTGATCAGTGACAAATGTGAAAACATAAAGTGTTTGCTATCAAATCCCATTCCAAAAAAAGAAGATTTAATGGATGCGATTAAATCCAATGTTTCTTCATCTTTGATTAATAACTTTATTTCTTCATTTCCAATACTTGGCTCCAGTGTTTTTTCTATGATCTTTGATAATATGGAAGCATATTTATTATTTGGTACGTATTGGGCCAATTTACAAAAGTTTTCTTTATCTTTTAAAAACTTGAATGAAAAAAAACTTGTGGAAACTTTTTTCATAAATTCTTTGATAAATCTATATTCCTTAGAATCTTCCAACGAACTATAGTACCTTAAAACCTCTATATCTATTAGGCTTGGATCTTTTAATTGCAGATTTGATAATTGAGTTTTGATGTTCCTCCAGTCATTTTTATTATTTAATAAAAACAATTTAAAATTGTCAATATTATATAAAAATTTTTCTTTGGTATATTTTTTCATAAAATCCTTATAATAGTTGACGCATTTTTTTTTCATAAATTTTACCAACTCAATAATTCTTTTGTTGTCTCTATTATCATTATTATGATTTGAAATAATATTTTCAATTATATCTTTATATTTCGAATATTGAGGTGGAATATAATAGTAATTTAAATCTAATATTTTATTTTGAATCTCTATAGATACTATTCCAAAGATTAATTGTAAAATATTGATTTTTGATTGTGAAAAAAGTCTATTGATTCTTTTTATGAATTTAAAAACCGGAGATTCTGATGATTCTGGAATTGGTGGTGGTGGTAACACATAGTATTTTCTATTACTAAAAATTAATTGAATAAATCTATCACATACATATGGGTCGGAATCGAGTGTAACTAAACGGAACATTGATAACTTGTTTCGATAGTATTTTACATCATCGAAATCTAATTGTTTATTATATTTTAAATAATATTCCTGTAATATTTCAAAATTTTGAATAGCCATATTATCCTGTTGGTTTTTTATTGAATTATCAGAAGAGGAAAGAGTGGTATTATTGTTGTCACTATTATCGTTGAGTTCAAAGCAATCTCTATTTCTCTTTAAACTATTGTTTTCAGTTTTTGAACCACTATTATTATTGTCGTTGTTATTAAAAAATAAATCTAGAAAATATTTGAATTTTGAAATTTCATTCATATTATCTTGCACGAGAAATTCTTTTAGAAATAAAATTGAATTTTGGTTGCCAAGTGGATCACTGAAAATAACTTTGAGCAACTCTTCATCCAAGTAGACACAACTGTATAAAAGATCTTTATTACCAATTGATGTTGATTTTAATAAAAGCCTTAATAAATCTTTTGCCAATTCTCTATCTTTTACAAATAGATTTTGTAACCATTTTAAATTATATACTTTCATTTCTAAAAATTCACCAGCTTCTAATTTACATTTTAATAACATGAACAAACCTTTCTTGATGATCCAGTCTACAGATCTAATATTTTTAAATGCAATTCTTGACTTTAAATAATTGCTATCACTAAATATTGCGGAATCATCCCAATCGGTTGTATATATATGATAAAATATTAAATTGAATAAAACTTTATTATGAAAAACTTTATAAAATAATTTTGAAAATGATTCATCATATGTGTGAATTTCATTATTATCATTATAATAATAATTATTATTATTATTATTATTATTATTATTTATCATTATATTTTAACAAACAAATAAATTTTTAAAAAGTGAAATGAAAAAATTTTAATAAAAAATCAAAAAATTTTAAAAAAAAATCACAAAATTAAAAAAAAAAATAAATAAAACCGAAAATAATTTCTTTTTTTTTTTTTTCTTTTAAATTTAAAACATTTATTTATTTATAGTTTAATATTATATGTTATTATTATTATTATATATATGACAATACTATTAAATCATAAATATAAAATAAATTTATGAATCATATAAAATTATTTTCTACAATCTCTAAAAATTGTAATACTAGTTTATTTTCAAAATCATCATCATCATTATTATTATTTCAAATACCAAATATTATTAAAAGATTATATACATCAACATCAACCACAATTAAAACTAGAAAAAGAATGAAACCAAATTATAGAATTACTATGGATCCTATTGGACTTTTTGAAAGTGTATTTTTAAATAAAACAGGTACACCCAGACAAGGTAAGATAGCACCAACTTCAAAAGGAAAGATTAAAATCGATTGTAAACATGGATATGATGCTGTTAAAGGTTTAGATGGATTCTCTCATGTATGGATTATATTTTGGTTCCACAATAATGATACAAATTGGATGAAAGAACAATTAGATAGAGTAAAAAATAATGAAATTAAAAAGAAACAACAACTCCAGCAGCAGCAGCAGCAGCAACAACTACAAAATGACGATAATGACAATACAGAGGATGAAACAACTACAACTACAACAACCACTACTACTACTACAACCACCACTACAACAAATAATGATAATTTAATTGAAATTAAATCAACCAAAGAAGAAAGAAACCCACCCAAACATGTTACAGTTAGACCACCAAGATTAAAGGGTAAAAGAACTGGTGTATTTTCAACAAGATCCCCACACAGATACAACGATATTGGATTAACATTATGCAAACTAGATAGAGTTGAACACGATACATTATACTTAAGCGGCGTTGATATTATTGATGGTACACCAATTTTAGATATTAAACCGTACATTCCTTATTGTGACTCTGAACCAAATGCAACCGTTCCAAAATGGGTAGAAAACCAAAAGACCCAAGTAGAAAATGTAGAATTTACCGAAAACGCAATCGAAACCATGAATTATTGTTTAGAAACATTTGGTTTAGATTTATTAAAATTAGAAGACCAACATTTAACCGAAGAACAAAGAACCGAAAATAACAATACTTTCATACCTGAAATGGATAGAAAGCACGAAAGATTAGAAAGATTAAAAAAAGTTATCACTGAAGTATTATTAAGCGAAGTTAGATCAACCTATAGAATAAAATGCAAGCCTGATGAAGAATGGGGATTCTTTTGTGACACCTTAAATGTACAAGTTAAAATGCTAAAATCTGGAACCATTACTGTTTTCAATGTTGAAGATAAAGATGTTTTTATAAAAAGAAAAGAACAACAACAATTACAAAAGCAACAACATCAAAAAGAATAATAAATCAGGAGATAATAATGTTTTATGAAGTTCAATTTTATTTATCAATGAAAATAAAAATTAAAATTAAAATAAATAAAAATTAAAATAAATAAAAATTAAATTTTTAAAAAAAAAAAAAAAATTATAATCATGTTTTGTGAACTACAGTTTTATATCAATGAAAATAAAAATTAAAATTAAAAAAATTAAAATTAAATTTTTAAAAAAAAAATAAAAGAAAATGTAGAACGCTGTTGCAAATTAATAAAAAAAGTGTGGTGTGGGGGTAAGAAAGTTAATATTTTTTATTTTTTTATTTTTTTATAAAAGGTGATGTTTAGTTCGGATCTGATAAAAGGAAATTTTTAATATAATTAATTAAATTTTTTAATTTCATACTCGAATAAAGTTTAAACTCAATATTAATTTTTTTCTATAAATTTCATATTTTTTTTTTTTTTTTTTATAAATTATTTAATTTATATATTATTTAATACATAGCAATTAAAAAATGGTATACTTTTTTACAAAAAAAGTAAGTATCTCTAACATATATTAAAAAAAAAAGAAATATATATTAATTATAGCTTTATTTGTATTTAGAATTACAGCTTTGAAAAGGAATTTTTAGCCATGGAGTCCAGAATGGCCAATATGGAATCCAAAATCAAAAGCTCTAAATTCTTCCATAATAATATTTATAAAAAAATTATTTTTTATGGTATTATTATAGATTTAATTATAGCCATTATCTCGTATGGTGTATCAAGTTCCCTCAACACTTTGCCTGAAAAGACATCGTTACTTTTTTATTTCATTTTATTCTCAATTGTGTAAGTTGTTGATTTTTAATGTATTTATTATTTATTTTTTATTATTGGTATTAACATTTATATTATCATTTTAGATTATTCGCATTTGCCAAATTTTATAGATTTTTAATTGAAAAATTAATAAAATACTATGAAAATAAGTATGGTAAATTATTTATTAGTTTAGAAAAATTGGTTGAAGAGAGAAAACGTAATATCAATTTTGAAGAAACCAAAAAACTCTGCGAGAAGTATGATGATATAATAAATAATAATAGGGATCAAAATCATGCACAACAAAGCCCTGAAACCCAAGGATCAATAACCCCACAAACCCAAGGATCAATAACCCCACAAATCCAAGGACCAAAAACCCCACAAATCCAACAACCAAAAGCCCCACAAATCCAACAACAACCACAACAACCACCACAACAACAACAACAACAACAAACCCCAAAAAAACAACAACAACAACAACAACAACAACAACAACAACAACAACAACAACAACAACAACAACAACAACAACAAATTAAAGAAACCACTCAAAATTTTAGAAATAGTATGTTTACTTTTAAAAACTTGTAATAGATTGATATTATTATTATATTAACCATTAATTTATTTTTATTTTAGGATGGTTAAATAAAATAATTGATTACCTAGCTCCAAATGATCAATTAAAATTAATTTGTGGTAACTGCAATACCAATAATGGAAGTTTGCCAAGTGAATACTTCCCAAATAGTAAGTTTTATTTACTTTAAAATTTTGCTTTAAAAATCATACTAATTTTTTTTTAATAGAATTCCGTTGTATTAGATGCGGATATTTAAACTTCAAAAATGAAAACCTTGGCCAATAGTTCCTTATGAAAAATTTTTTTATTTTTTTTAAACAAAATTTTTAATTTTTTTTTTTATATAATTTTTTTAATTAATCAGATCCTTAAAAATAAAAATAAAATTAGATTCCTTTTAAACTTTGCAGAAAATTTTTTAGAATTTATTATTACTATTTATTTATTATTTATCATTTAATTTTCCACCTAATTTTGCTTCTTTAAAAACTTGTCTTGTATTAATATTTAATCTTCTATTTTTTTCTTTTAACCATTTAATTTTATATTTTAAATCTTTAGAGTCATTTTCATCGATTAAATCTAAATTGAAAGAATCTTCGACAATTTTTGCAACACCATGGTAACAATAACGTGATCTACCACCCATAATAACGATATCTCCACTTTTGATGAATAAAGGTACTGGTGCAATATCACGAGTTTCAGCACCCATTAAAAATACAGCAGTTGAACCAAAACTAATTGATATGATTGGTTTTTCCATTTCTTGTTCTGCATTATCTAAATGACCACCCATAATTGAATCTTCAGAATAGAAATTGATGGTTGCAGCTTCGGCAACATATGGGTCAAATTTAGTTGCAACTGCAATTTTTTGAACCAACTCTTGTAAGTCATCTGGGAACTCTTCGTAGAATTCTTCAGTGTAAAGTCTTGGTGTCCATTGGTATTGGTATCCAAGTGTAGCCCATGCTAATTTATCTAAAAGTGCTCTGTAGGTTGGAAGACGTTCGCCGTTTTTATCTAATGGTCTCTCTGGTAATTGGTCGATTGTGCCCTCCTCTTCTGCAATCATTTCTCTTTCGCCACCTTCCCAGAGGTTGTGAACTGGTCCATAGAAAAGATTTAAATTATTGTTGTTTGGTGGACTTGCATAGTGTTCAAGACCATGTTTGATCCATTTCTTTTGTTGTTGTGGTGTGAATGGTGATCTGATAAAATAAAATCCTGGGTATCCCTTAAGTCCAAATACCTTCCATTCCTTTGGATGTAAATAAAATTCTGTATCTTTATTAAACTCAAACTCCTTACTGGTTACATTCTCTGTGCAATCGATAATTAACTCTCTATTCTCTGGTGTGTTGTTTTCTATATTATGAAAATCTAATACTATTGAATAATCTATTGGTTCTCTTTTTTCCTTTGGTATATTTTTACCTAATGGTGTTTTTGTAACTTGTCTAAATAATCTTTGTACTCTCATAAACTCTGTAACTTTTTTTTCACCATTTTCAACCTTTTTTTCTGTATTATTTGTTGTTGTGGTATTATTAGTTGTTGTTGGTTCTTCTTCAGTTTCGTACATTTTTATTATTTCTATTATTTAAATAATTTGCTAATAAGTTGGAGTTATTAATAAAAAAAAATAATATGAAAAATAAAAAATAAAAAAAAAGATTCGTTATTTTAAAAAATAAAAAAAATAAAAAAAAAAATATTTTAAAAAAATAATAAAATTTTGATTATTGCGAAAATTAAAATAAATCTATAAAAAGATACACTAACATAATTATAAGATCAACAATAACAATAACAATAACAATAACAATAACAAACAATATATGTTTCAATTAATATAACATTATTAAAACATATAAAAACTGAAATTAATTATATAATAATATATTCTATTTTACAATAAAAATCAAATAAAAAACAACATTTAACTAAAAGTTTGATTTTTTTATTTTTTATTTTTTTCCTTTTTTAACAATTTAAATGAATAATGTAATTGTGATCAAATAAAATTTAAAAATTAAAAAAAAATTAAAAAATTAAAAAAAATAAAAAAAAAATATTTTTTTAATAAATTTATTAAAAAAAAAATGCATTTCTTTTCATTACATTCTTTTACGAAATTATTATTTAATTAATAGAGATATTGTTTTAATTAAAACAATTTCTGTTTATATATTTTAATCAGTAATGTTTAAATTAACAAATTATATAAGAAATAATAAAAGTTTGTTAAATAAAATTAATAATAAATATTACTGTACCACCACTACAAATGCAATCAATAAAAAAAAAATATTAATTACCACACCAATTTTTTATGTCAATGGACCACCACACATTGGTCATTTATATACAGCTTTGTTAGGTGATGCATTTGCAAGATGGAATAGATTTAAAGGAAATGATACATAGTATGTTTTATAATTTTAATATATACTATTACCCAAAATTTTGTTGGAACTATTAATATTAATTCTATTTATTTAATTTTTCTTATATATATAGCTTTATGACAGGTACAGATGAACATGGTATGAAAGTGGATGAAGCAGCAAAAAAGAAAGGTTTAAAAACTATTGATTATTGTGATAGCATCTCAAATAGATTTAAAGAATTATTCAAGTTATCAGAGATTCAATATGATGATTTTATTAGAACTACTGAACCAAGACACAGAGATGCTGTTACAGCAATGTGGAATAGATTATTAGAAAAGGGATATATTTATAAAGGTGTATATAAAGGATGGTACTGTACTTCAGATGAATCTTTCTTAACAGACGATCAGGTTATGGAAGGTATGTCACCAATAACCCCAAATAATCCAGTCAGTAAAAAGTGCATGGTAAGTAAAGAGTCTGGTCATGAGGTTACTTGGGTTGAAGAAGAAAACTATATGTTTAAATTATCAGAATTTGCATCAAAAGTTGAAAACTGGATTCAAGACTTAAATCCAATATTTCCAGCCACACATACCAAACAACTATTGGCAATGATTTCTCAAGGTGTTAGAGATCTCTCCATCTCAAGACCATCTTCACGTATTACATGGGGTATTCCTGTACCAAATGACCCTAGTCAAACTATTTATGTTTGGTTAGATGCACTCACAAACTATTTAACTGTTACTGGCTATCCAAAAGTTGACCCAAATGATCCATCATCCTATTGGTCCAATACTCATCACATCATTGGTAAAGATATCATTAAATTCCACTGTCTATATTGGCCAAGTTTTTTAATGGCTGCCGAATATCCTGTTCAAAAAGGTGTTCTTTGTCATGCCCATTGGACTGTAAATAGAGAAAAAATGTCAAAATCACGTGGTAATGTTGTAGACCCATTCGAAAGTATTCAAAACTATGGTTTAGAGGTCATCAGATACTTTTTACTTAAGGGTGGTGGTTTAGAAGATGATGGCGATTGGTCAGATCACGAAATTTCAGTTCGTTTAAAAGCAGATTTAGCAGATACTTATGGTAATCTTTTATCAAGATGCACAGGCAAACCACTCCATCCATCAGGTCATTGGCCAAAATCAGTTAATCTTGATGAATCCTCAACATTACTCACTGAAAAAGATATTCAACTTTTAAACCATTGTAAAAAATTAATTAATGGAGCAACTGTCAATTTCGATAAAGGTGATTTCAAAAATGGTATTTACGAAATTCTAGCATTCCTCTACGACTGCAACGGCTATATTCAAGAACAAAAACCATGGACATTAGCACCCAAACCAAATCGTCCAAATGCAGACCCAGTTCGTTTAAACACTATTATGTACATTGCATTAGAAATGATCCGTATTGCCTCATTACTCCTCTTACCTGTTATTCCATCCTCTGCCACATTAGCTCTCAACCAACTCGACATTCCTTTAGATCAAAGAAATCACCAAAACCTAAAATTAGGTTATGATTATTTCTCTAGAGAAAACAATCAAATACCACAAAACTCTTTAATTTTATTTAAAAAATAAAAACAAACATAAATAAATAAATAAATAAATATATAATAAAAATGATTGTTTTTTTTTTAATATACTTTATTTAATTATCTTTTTTTTCACCATTACCATTCTTTTCGATATCATTATCTACAGTTTTAAAATATTCTAAATTTAATTCATTTAATTCGTCATCAGAAATAGCAACTACACCTTTTACTTCAGCAATCCAATGCATTAACATTCTTTCAATGCCACCTTTGAGTGTTGCTTGACTACTTGAACATGATGAACATGTGCCTTGTAATTGTACTAAAACAATACCATCTGCAAAACCCATATATTTAATATTACCACCATCTTCTAATACGGTTGGTCTAATTCTAGTTTCAATTAATTCTTTAATCATTGCAACTACTTCACTATCCTCTGGTAAAATTGTAGTATCTGTATTTATATCGCTGCTATGTTCACTTAAAATTGGTGATCCTGAATTATAAAAATCAATTATTGCTCCATAAATTTCTATATATAATAAAAATATTAATACACATAATTTCTATTATTTTTAAAACCAATGAACTATTATTATTATAATTCTTACCAGGTTTTAATGCAGCCCAATCTTGCTCTGGATATTTATTAACTGAAATGAAATCTGAACTAAAGAAAACTCTATTAACACCCTCGATTTTAAAGAGTGAATTTGCTAATGGTGAAACTTGTGATGATTTAAAGTCTGGGAAATCCATAATTTGACCATCTGATAAAACTTCAACACCTGGTATAAATTTTAAACTATCTGGATTTGGTGTAGTTTCAGTTTGAATAAAAATACTTTGTTTCTTTTCGTTTTCATTTTCACCTTTTAATAACTCTTGATATAACTTTTCTTTAGTCTCTGAATAGAATCTTTTATTTATATTACTATTATTTATATTATTAAATGATTTAGTTGATGATGCTATTAATCCTTTATTAAAATTACTATTTGAAACCAATGATCTTGGTGATACTCTTGATCTTGATACTGATCTTGCTAATTTATTTAAATTTCTAATCATTTTTATACAGTTGTTTAAAGTTTTAATTTATAATTTAATGAAATGAAAACAAAATGAAAAAAAAGTATTTTATAAAATTTGAAAAAAAAAAATAAAAAAATAAAAAATAAAAATTTTAATTTTTTTTTTTATTTTTTTTTTATTTTTTATTTTTTTTAATTTATTAAATTATATAAAAAAAACGAGTTTAAAGAAGTGTTAAGAAGTTTTAAAATATCATGATTTTACTATAAATTAACTTGATTGTTTAATTTGGTATTGGTTCTTATTCTGTTTCGAGAATGAATTTTAAAAATAAAAATATTTGATTTTTTTTTTTTTTCGTTTAAATTTTTTTTTTTTTTTTTTTTTTATTAATTTTTGGTGGGGTTTATAAATAAAAAATTAAATACATCATTTCATTTTCCAAATCTAATTGGTGTGTTGCTATAAATAATAATTATAAATAATAAATAAAAATGGAAATAAAAAAAGTTATTGGTGATTATGATAAATTTTTAAATATTGTATTTAATCATTTAATTGGATGTGGTGGTTTTAAAGAACAAGAATTAATCGATTGGGAAATTGACCATGTTTGTTATCGTATGTAATATTACCATATTATAAATAGATAAGCAATATCCAATTATCACCATACTAATTATATATCTATAGGTGTCAGTACTAAAGAAAACTATGAAGAAAAGAAAAAGCAATTAGGTGAATTGGGTGTCAATTTAATTGAAGCCAATGTCAACGGTAGACCAATTTCAACATATAAATTAAACAAACCAATTGAATTTTCATATAGCGGTAACCCATTAATCAAAAAGTTAATTCCATTAGTCGAATTACCAATGCCAAAAAACTCAAATACAAAAGATGGTCTTGAACACTTTGAAATGGTCATTGGTGAAGGCAAAGATTTAAAAGAATTTGTTGACCAACATCCAATCAATAAACAAGTTTCTAATTGGGTATACAATGGTATTAATAAAGATTTTAATGCTGATATCGAAGTCGAATTTTATTTAACCAATCAAGATAAATTAGATATCAACCACCCACAAAATGAAATGGATGAAAAAAGAACATTTAGCGTTAAATTCCATCACCAATCTTTAGAAACAGTTATTGCCTATGAAATCAAACATGGTTTAACAAAATAAATAAATAATTTTTTAATTTTTAAAATATTTTTATTTTTTGTTATAATATTTTTATTTAGCCACATTATAATATTAACAGAAAAAAAAAAAAAGAAAAAAAGAAAAAAAGAAAAAATTGTTGGGGAAAAAAACTTTTATGATTATTTTTTAAAAAAATTCTATTTAATTATTTTTTTTTTTTTTTTAAACAACGTATTTATTTATTATTTATATAAAGTTGAAATAACAAAACAATTTAACGGAGTCTACGGGCTTCACGTTCAGTTTCGAGGAGACATAAGATATCGTCCTAAAGAAAAGAAAAGAAAAAAAAAAAAAGAATTATTAATATGGATTTTAAATTTGGATGTCTCTGTGTATTGATATACATACTTTTCTGACTGGACCTTTAACGTTTCTTAATAAAGTTCTTTCTTTACCTTTTTCGGTACCTAAGAATTCAACACCTATTGGTTTTAAATAAAAAGAGATATAAAAGTAAGTATATTATTTTTTTTGTTTGGGTTTTTTTTTTTTTTTTTTTTTTGTTGTGAACACTTACGGACTTGGGTGACGGCACCACGTGAACCAGTTCTGCAGAGAACTTCGGTTACTTTAGCTAATTGAACGTTTTCGGTGGTAGTGTTCTATTATTGATAAGAAAACAAATAATAAATTAGTATGATGATAATAAATAAAATAAAATAAAATAAAATAAAATAAAAATCTAAAAACAAATTTGATAAATAAAACCAAGCGCGTAATAATGATGAATAGTTTTGGTAGTCCTATCTAAAATATCTGGTTGCTTTTGTTGTTTGTTTGTTTGTTTGATTTTCGTTATTAAATAATAAAAAAAAATGAATAACCTAATCCTCTGTTTTGTCGTTAAAGTCGTAATTTTATTTTTTTTAAACATGTAATATATTTTGCTAAAATAATTCTATTTCCCTGTTGTATATCATCAACCTATAATTATTTTAATCCTGTTGTTGATCTATTATTTATTTATTTTAAAATTTTATTTCTTTTTTTTTTTTTTATGTGTATTTGTTTTTATTTGTTTTTTTATTATTTTTATTTTTTTTATTATTATTGTTTTCCTTTTTATTTATTCTACCAAAACTATTTTTTTCATTCATATTTACTTGGCTTTAATTTATTTAAATAATAAAAAAAACAAAAAACAAAAATATATATGTTGACCCAACCATTTTGTTTTAACTGTATACGAAAAGAGCGAAAAGAGAGAAAAACTTTTTTGTATACAAAAAAAAAATTAAAAGCTGGGCCGTAAAAAAAAAAAAAAAATTTAAAAAAAAAATTCATAAAAAATATTTTTATGTTATAGTTTGGAGTTATGTAAAAACTACGTAAAAAAACTCCAATAAAAAATGATTTTTTCATTTTATTTTTCAAAAAAAAATTAATTTTTTTTCTATGATTTATAAAAAACCGAAACTTTGTGCATATTAAACTATAAGAATTTAAAATTATTGATCAATTTTATAAAAATAGATTTACCAATTGTTAAAATGAAACATTATTCTAAAAAAAAAAAAAATTAAAAAAAAAAAAAATATGTGAAACATTTTTGTAATTTGCAAAACAAAATTATTATTTTAATTTTTGGAACAAATTATAATTAAAAACTTTAACTTTATTTTAATTGAATTTACAAAAATGCTTCATATTTTTTTTATTATTTATTTTTTTGTTATTGTAATTTTTTTCTCAAAAAAAAAACAGTGAAGTTAAGTGTTTTTTCACCCACACACACAAAATTAAATAAAAAAATATTTATGATAAATAAAATTTAATTAAATTATTATTATATATTTGATAGCTTTTAATTTTATTCATTGTTTGTTATTTGATTATATTACTTTAAAGTTTGAGATATGCACAATAATAAGACTAAATTATAAAAAAAAAACTTTTTTATTTTTTTTCCCAAAAAATAAATATGATAACTAATATTACTTTTTTGACGTATATCCTTCCAAAACCATTACCAATTATTTATTTCATTTTAATTATGTCTTAGTGAACTAATAAATTAATTAATTAGTTTAAATTGGAATTATTTGAATTAATTTTTTTATTTTTTTTTTTTTTTTTTATTTTTTTTTTTTTTGCAATTATCAATTAATTTAAAATTTTAAATAAATAATTTATCAAATTATTTTTTTTTATTATTTTTATATTTTTTTTTTTTTTTTTTGTTTTTAAATCTATTTTTTTGTTATAATACCTAGATTAAAGATAAATCTATTTTAAAAATATTATAATTGCATTTTTCATTTTTTTTTTATTTATCTCTTTTTTTATTTATCTCTTTTTTTTTTATTTTTTATTTTTTATTTTTTGTTATTTTTTTTTTTTAATTTGTGCAATTTTTTTTTTATTTTTTAATTTTTTTTTTTTCAAAATTTTTTTAAAACCAAAACGATAAAGTTTTTTATTTTTTATTTTATTTTTTTTTAAAATTCTCCGATAAGTCTCATCTGACAAAATTCTTCATCATCAACATCATTATCATTAATACCACCAGTAATAATAGAGTTCATATATCTTTATAGTATATATATATTTGTGTTTTTTTTTATTTTTTAAAAAGAAAAAGTTAAAACTTTCAATACACACAGAACGAAGAATTGTAGAGTTTTAAAGAAATTACAGAGAATAAATTGTAAAAACAAATAACCAACATATATAAGAGGAATAGACAAGAGTATTATTAGAGAGTTTTAGGTTCATATCAGCGTATAAATTTAATGAACAAACAATCATAAAATGGCATCAAATAATAATAGTAATAATAATAATAATAATAATAATAATATAGATATTAAAGATAAAGAAGTAAAATTAAAAGAATGGTTTAATAAATTTGATGAAGACAAAGATGGATCATTAAATAAAAGTGAATTAAAAAAAGGTTTTAAAGTTCATGCCAATATTGATATTAAAGATGTAAGTTCAATAACAATAAAATCAATAACAATAATACAATAGAATCCAAAAGAGACTAACAGTTTTTTTCTTTATTTATAACAATAATAATTTTATAGGACCAAATTATAAAGATGATGGAGCTTGCAGATTCAAACAGAAATCATAAAATCGAATGGGATGAATTTTATAAAGTTGTTGGTGATAGTTCATCACACGAAATTAAAGATATTGCGGAATTTTGGTTACAGTACAGCAGCAAACCAATTATTCATGCACCACTAGATGTACCATCATGGAAGTTATTATTATCAGGTGGTGTTGCTGGTGCAGTTTCAAGAACTTGTACCTCACCATTAGAAAGATTAAAGATTCTTAATCAAGTTGGATATATGAATTTAGAAAGAGAAGCACCAAAATATAAAACTGGCGTTATTTCATCATTACATAATATGTACAAGACTGAAGGTTTTGCTGGTCTCTTTAAAGGTAATGGTACAAATGTTGTTAGAATTGCTCCATATTCAGCAATTCAATTTTTATCCTATGAAAAATATAAAAAGGTAGGTACACAATAGATTTTTATTATATTATTATTTTATTCTAATTTTTAATATTACTTTTTTACTTTTAGTTTTTATTAAAAGAAGGTGAAGCACATTTAAGTGCTTATCAAAATTTATTTGTTGGTGGTGCTGCAGGTGTTACTTCATTGCTTTGTACCTATCCATTGGATTTAATTAGATCGAGATTGACTGTCCAAGTTTTCGCTAGTAAATATAGTGGTATTTCAGATACATGTAAAGTTATTATTAAGGAAGAAGGTGTTGCAGGTTTATATAAAGGTTTATTCGCATCAGCATTGGTAAGTTATATAATGTCTATATTATTTATTAATATAAATTATAATTATATTAATGTATTTTCATATTCATATTTATATTATTATTATTATTATTAGGGTGTTGCACCTTATGTAGCTATTAATTTTACGACTTATGAAAATTTAAAGAAATATTTTATTCCAAGAGATTCAACTCCAACAGTTTTACAAAGTTTAAGTTTTGGTGCAGTTTCAGGTGCTACAGCTCAAACATTAACTTATCCAATCGATTTAATTAGAAGACGTTTACAAGTTCAAGGTATTGGTGGTAAAGAAGCTTATTACAAGGGCACTTTAGATGCATTTAGAAAAATTATAAAGGATGAGGGTGTTTTAGGTTTATATAATGGTATGATCCCATGTTATCTCAAGGTTATCCCAGCTATTAGTATTAGTTTTTGTGTGTATGAAGTTATGAAGAAGATTTTGAATATTGAATCAAAGAAAATTTCTTATTCATCATAAGAAAAGAGGATAAAATTTTATATCATACTTTATATAATATTAAATAAATAATATTAATAATAATAATAATAATAATACTATTAATAATAATTAAGGTATTTGTTAATTATTTAATAAATAATAAATAATTAAATTATAAAATATAAAAATAAAAGATTTATAAAAATAAAAAATTTATAAAAATAATTTTTTTTAAGAAAAATAGTATTTTTTTATTTTTAGTTTTCTTTATTTATTAGTTTTATTTGTTTTTTAAAATGGTATGGTTTAAAATAAATGTTGATTTTGAAAGTTTTTTATCATCCATTAAAATATTTGAATTTAAAATTAAATCGTTTTTAATTAAATATTCAATCACATCGCAACAATAGTAACGATTGGTGCTTTTAATAATTGATAAGAGTATTCCTTCATCTGCTTTGAAACTATAGGAGCTGAATAATGATTTTATTTTTTTAAAAATTGAGATTGTTCCATAGATTAAAGTGTTTTGATGAATTTCTTTTAGTTCTTGTTCAGTAAGTGTAAGAGATTCAATAAATTCTTTTTTTTCTTTAATCATGTATTCCATTAACCAGATGTAAGAGTTTCCGCCGTAATACATATAGTTATCTAATTTTGATTTAAAAAGTGACAAAAATAAACTCTTTCTTGCTATATTATTAATATGATTGTTCCAAATAAATTCGAAAATTTCTGTATTGTTATTTGATAAAAATGATAGAATTCCATGTGTTTCTGGCTTTAAATTGGTTTTGATAATTGGATCATAAAGTTTATGAAACCATTCTGTTGACATTGACCTTGAAAATAAATCATTTGAAAGATAGTTTACAGTGATTGGTTGAATTGTTTTAACGTATTTTATCATTGCATTATAATAGCCATATAAAAAAGCTAAATATAATTCTCCAATACCTTTTATGTTTTGAATTTCTTTACTTGTTATTATTTTCTTATCAAACTCATTGGTTCTATTATTTTGGTCATTGTTGTTTTGGTCATTATTATTTTGGTCATTATTGTTTTGATCATTATTGTTTTGCTGATTGTTATTTTGGTCATTGTTTTCTTGGTTTTCAATTTGTCCATTATAAAGTGTATTTACTAAATTAATCAAAACAGTAAGGTCTCCAATGTTGTAGGTTCTTTCATCCTCTTTCTTTAAACCTTCGAATTGATAGTGGAGTTTAATGGTTTCATAAAAATGGTCTTTATATTTAATCATAAGGTCACATGATTCTTGTGGGATTAAATTGAAAACGACTTCTTTTGGAGGATTCATATTTTTTACCATATAATCTAAAATGGATTGTAAATTAAAATTTATAATGTATCTGTTGCAAGAAAGATGCTTGATTATTTCAAAGGTGTCTTTTTTAATGATTTCTGGTGATATTTCCATTGGTTTGTTATTTACTGCTGATAGTATTTTATTTATTGAGGTAGTTTCTTTATTAGCTATTGAAAAGAGTAAGTGTTTTATTAAAAAGTTTGATTTATAAAGGGGTGGTTTTGAAAAATTATCTTTATATTGTTCTCTGTGGCTGTTTGAAAAGTAATTTAATAGGTTTTGATCTAAATCGTTAAATAGTTGTATCGATGATGATAAGTCTAATCTTTTTGCGGCTTTAAGGAGAGATACAGTATATTCCTGAAGGATGCTTAGGGGTTTATTTTTACATAAATTGAATAAATAGTTTAAAAATTTGCCATACTGTTCTTCTTTATTAATAGAAATCTCCAACAATAACCTTTTTTCCACATCTCTATTAATTGCTTGATTATTTGATTGTGAATTGGTATAGTTTTCAAAATAAAGATCCATCTTCTTTAGTTCTAAATAATTCCCACCCCCATTTACAGATTTAAAATGACCTTCAATCATTTTTATTCTGTCTGTACCTTCTAAAAGTAATAAAAGATATTCTTCTCTAATGGGTGCAAAATTTTTAATAATATATTCTAACTGGGAAGCATCTTCACTTAAAACTATCTTTGGTATTATTTCTTTTAGTCCTACAGGTAAAAGGTTTATAGATTCTTCGGTTAATATAAGGTTGAAATAGTTATTTAATAGTTCCTTCTCTTTTTCTAAGTCATGGGTTGTAATTAATCTAAAACTAGTTTGAAATTCACTGTTAAAAATAAATTTGTGGCTGGGTGTATCTGAAAGGGGTTGAGGAAATATTTTCTTTATTTGGGAGTATAAGTTAAATGCATCAATTGAACGTTTTTCTAATGAAAAGTAAAATATAAAAGATATTATTCTATCTTTGATTTCATAATATATATGGCCACCATGGTTATTCTCTTCGACTTGGAATTTGCTAAAGGTAAAGTTTTCTCTTAAAAGGTCTTCAATCTTTTGGATGTTGTTTTCATTCAAATAGTGATGAACTAAATGGATGTCAAAGTAATATATAAGTTCTTCATCCGTTTGAGGGATGTTGAATTCCTGAACTGCTTTAATCAACGAACCAACACTATTAATGGTATTTTGCTTTTCGATTAAATAAGATTTAAATTCTTTCAGGTTAATAGTCTTATTATCGTTGATTCTAGAGAGGAGGAACAAAAAAACAAAATTAAAATTATCTATATAATGATTTGTTCCATTTTTGAAGGTTTCTATTTGAAAGTCACCAAACAAAGCCATTTTTCTAATTATTTCCATTGTTTCTTTTGATTGGATATGCTTTGTTGAAATGGTATTTTTTTGAAGGTGTGTTAAATTGCAAAGATATTTTTTGACTAATTCATTAATATCCATTTTTAAATATTGGTTGATAAAATTTAACTGATCAATTGAAGGAGTGTTTGAATTTTTTAAAAAGAAATTTTTACTTGAAAATAATGGAATTTCTGTATTATTTACAATTATGGATGGGCATATATTATCGTTATTACTATTATTATTGTTTTGATTAATTAATTCAAAAATGTATTCATGAATTTTATTTTTTTTGAAAGTATGATTTTCAATTATATAGTCTATTATGTCGCAAAGTTTATAATCATTATTGATTTTAGATTCATTATTTTCTATTATATAAAAGTTGTAAATATATTTAAATAATTCTGCAGAGTTGGGTAGAGAGGTGATCATTTCTAAGGGATTGAGCTTCTTTAAAATTTCTTTGTAGTTATGCCACAGTAATTGAAAAGATTCATAAAAGTGGGGGTTAAATATATGGGATTTTAGGAGCTTTTCTAAACCAGTTCGATCGATGAAAATTGTTTGGTTTCTTTTTAGCTTGTCTAGGATCATTGAGTATTTCTTATTCTGAACCATTATTATTAAAGATTTGGTGTCATTGTAACTACATCCCACATTTTCCCTAGGAAAAAACGAAAGGATATGATTTCTAATAACCTTGTTTTTGAATATTTTATAAAATAGTTCTTCATTTTTATTATTTTTAAAATTTTTTTTTTCCATACTATGTTTTTTTTTTTTTTAAATTTATTTGATAATTTGATAATTTATTTTTATAGGATTAAATTGAGAGGTGGGTATTGTTTTAAGAAAATAAAATTTATTTTAGTTTTTATAAAATAAAATAAAATAAAATAAAATTAAATTAAATAAAATAAAATAAAATAAAATAAAAAAAAATAAAAAAAAAAATAAAAAAAAAAAAAAAAAAATAAAAAAAAAAAAAATTTCTTAACTACTTTATACTATTATTACACAGTAACAACGATTATTATTATTAATTACTTTATTCTTTATAAAATAAAAAATTTACAAAGATAATCTAATATTTTAAAAATTTTAATAAAAAAATTATATAATTATTTCATTTTTTTAAATAATACTTTTATTAAAAATTTATTATAAAAAACCCAATATAATTTTCAATAATTATGTTATTCTCAAAATAAATTATATGAGCTTTATTCAATAACAATAGCAAGTTCATATCTTATATAGTTTAGACTTTTACCGATTATTTGGAAAAAAAATGATTAAAATACATTGATATATGCAATGGAAATTAAATTTTTAAAAAAAAATTAGTTTTTAATTTGATATATTAATTTGAAAAAAGGATATCTTATAATAAATTAAAAGAAAATCTTTTTTTTCTTTTTTTTTTTTTTTTTTAAAATATAAATAAAAATATAAAAAATATTAAAGATAAATAGTTTATTATTTATTTTTATAAACTTTAATTGTAATAGATTGGTTTTAATTTTAAAAGTTTAAAAAAAGAAAATTAAATTATAAAATTTTATTTAATATCTAATTAATGTATAATCTTTATAAAAAAACTATATTTTTCTATTTGAATTTAAAATCCTTCTTTGGTACTGGAGCTACTTTAGCATAGTTTTTGATAGATTCTCTATAATAGCAATAGAGACCAAGAATTCGAAATTTTGATTTGATTAGAGGGTGGAGGTAAATCCATTTCTTGAAACCTTATGTTCGAAAAAATGTTTTACCTTTATATAAAATAGAGTGACCCTTCAAAAATTAAATTAATTTAATTTTTTAATCTTATTTAAATTGAACTATCAAAGTAATTTAAATACGATTAATGATCTTTTCTAAAGATTTTACTGAAATTGGTTAAGCTTTGAGTTGATAAGCCTTTTCTGTAATAGTATTCTATATTTCCTTTTATAATAATAAAGAGTAACACCGACAGTATAATTATAATTTGGACATCAAAGAGTTGTTGGGGTTGGTGCGCTAGTTTCAAGTTATTCCATATTTTTTCTATAGTAAATGATGTTCTTGAAGACAGGGGATATTTTATCTTTTATTCATCTATTCGAAATTCTATTTTAGTTGAATGTTCAGAACCCTATTATTATTAAATGTTTGATGTTATAATGTCATATCACATTCATTTTGATAACGTGATGGAGAAGTTTCTGATACGAGATGAGCATATGGTGGTTGTTGATAATATGTTGGTGTATCTTCGAATTATGGTGCACTTCCAGAACTAAATTGTTGTTTCTGTTGTTCATATTATCTTTGTAATTTTAACTCTCTTAGACGTATCAATTCTGCAATTGCTTTTTGTTTTTCCGTTAGTTGTTGTTCTTTTTGTTGTTTTAATAACATTTTTTGCAATTCCATCTGTATTGAATTTGAATCAGAGTATTGTGGAAATTGTTGTGATAGGTTTGGGTGATGATTGCCATTGTCATTTTTGTAGAAGTTGCCATTGCTGTAGTAGATGTTGTCATTGTTGCCATTGTTGCAGTTGTTGTTGAAATAATAATTATATGCACCCATACCAAATAAGAATGAAAGAGCTACTGTGATAATGATAGCACAAAATAAAACAACATAACCGTCCATTTTTTTCTTTAAGGTAGTTTGTTTAAAGAAAGGTGTGAAAGGGGATGTTGAAATTATTATTATTATGGTGTTAGTTGTAATTATTTAATCTATATAAAAAATTATAGCTTTTATTATAATAGGATTTGTATGGACTATTATAATAAATAAAATAAATGTATATAATTATTTGTATTGATAAAATAAAAATGAAAAAAAAAAAAAAAAAATTTCCCCCCACACCACAAAAAAAAAAGAAAAAAAAAAAAATTTAATTAAAAAAAATGAAATTTACCACTCTTGAAATTTCTACAATGGAATAAGATGGCGAACATCATTATTGAAATTTATAATAATAATTTTTAATTAATATAGCCACTATAGATTTTATAATAATAGTTTTTATAATTTTAGTTAACTTTTAGGAAAGTATAATAAAATAATTTTATTTTTTTATTTTAATCGTTCCTTAAGAAACTATCATGATTCAATTCAAATATTTAAATAATGGTTCATATTTAATTAATTGTCAAAAATAACTAATATCTCTATTTTATTACTTATTGTGGAGCCAAGAGATGAAGAAGTATTTAAAGAACATCGGCATCAGGTGTAACAAATATATTTTAATAAAAAAAAAAAAAATAAAAAAAAATATTTATTTTTTGGGTTATAATATCTTATGTTGTAGTTTGAACCAACAAAACCCATTTTTTTTTATTTTTTTTTTTATTATTTTAATAAACCCAAAAAAATATTTTATAAGATATTATAATAATCAATAAAAAAATTTTATTACCCAAAAAAAAAAAAAATAAAAAAATTTGATCAACTTTTTTTTTTTTTTTTTTTTTTTTTGGGTTATAATATCTTATGTTGTAGTTTGAACCAACAAAACCCATTTTTTTTTTATTTTTTTTTTTATTATTTTAATAAACCCAAAAAAATATTTTATAAGATATTATAATAATCAATAAAAAAAATTTATAAATCAACTTTTTTTTTTTTTTTTTATTCTATTTTTTCAACTTTTTTTTATTTTTATTTTGATATATTATTACTCTTATATATTATTATTTGTAAATCCTTTTTTTTATATTTTTTATTGATTACATCAATAATCAATAAAAAGAATAAAAAATAAAATAAAAAGGATGACCAATTTTTTTTGGTTGAACAATACCTCAAATCAAATACTTTTAAAAGTCCTGAAGAATACCGAAAAGATAATAGGGAGCCTATTGAAACATAACTCTCAAAATTACAAAGCCAATTTAAAGATTTTGAAATGTTTCAAAAATTTTGCAAATAATTGGAGTTCAAAAGATTAAACACATGTAAGTATAAATTAATTTTATTAAATTTCAAATATATCCTATTATTTTAGAAATAATTTTAATAAAAAAAATCAACAACAGTTTTTATAATGATCTTATTGAAAGTATAGTTTCTATTTTGATATGAGATTTCAAAAAAAAGCATGGAATCTAAAAGATTTAATGAAAAGTAAGTCCTATTAATATTCTAATTTTAACATTGAAAATTTTAATCTAATCTTTTTAATTTAACTTTAGAGGAAAAGATATAAATATTGTTAATATATGTTGGAGCTTTTCAACTTCAAATATAAAGTTAAAACGATTCTTTATATTCCTTTATCTTCATTAAAAAACCAAGGTGAACTTAAAATAACCGATCAAAAAAATTTTAATTGGTTTAGATATACGGAAGCATCTTTAAGATTTCATAAACGTGTGGAAACTGTAAGAAATTTATTTTAATATTTTAATATTTTAAATTTATAACTTTTATTAATTTTTTTGATTTAGATGAAAAGCAATAATCAATTAGGTCAATCAATAATTAATAATGCAAACCTTGAAATTTTATTAAGACTCAATACTGATATTATTGAAAAATAAAAAAGTATGTTTAATTATAATTATTTATTTTTTAAATTTATTTAGTACTAAAATAATTTTTTAAAAGTATTCAAAGTAAATCTCGAAATGGGATATCAGATAAAGAAATATGTTATTCGGAACTAATAAGTTTTAACAATATTGAATTGATTACATAATCTGTGGAAAATTTATCAAATTTTGCAATTACAACAATTATATATTTAACAAAGATTTTATAAAATAAAAATAAAAAATAAACGTTTTATTTTATGGGATTAAATAAGCAACAGTTAATGTGGAAACTCTTTTTTTTTGGTTAATTTCGACCTTTTCTCTTCTTTTTCCTCTTCTTCTTTTTCTTTCTCTTCTTTATTTTTTTTTTTATTAATTATGCTTTTTTTTCACCCTTCTTTTGATTCTATTATTAATTTTTTTTTTCGTTGTAATGTTTATATTTATATATATCAATTATTAAAAAATGTTTTATTTATAGAAATTGTTTTAATTACTTAAAAATAGTTATATTGATTATTAATTTTGTACCAGAAATCAATATTTAATCTTTTTTTATTAGTATATACCCATATCATCTTTATTAGTTATATTTTAATACAACAATATATTTTTATAAAAAAATTATAATAAACTAAAATGAATAGAAAAAAGAACTATTTGGTGATTTAAAAACCATTGTTAAAAATGAATTTGTAGAGAAATTAGAAAAATAATGATATATTAAATTAATTTTATTGTTTTTATTTATTTTAAAATGATAGTTTATACTAAACATTCCAATGTAATATCTTTTAACTCACCAACTGTTGTCCCTTTTATAATATAACCAAAAGTATATTGTTCATATGCGTTAATTGTTGAATGCCATGATGGTAAAGTATATCTATTGCCTGCAGTATCTACACCCCATATTTGATCTATATTATCCATTTTAAAACTAAATAATTTTAATGCTTTATTTCCTGTATTTTTAATAGTAATTGATGCTTGAAGGAATGGATATATTTCTGAATTGATCCAAGTAGAAACAATAGTTTGTTCGACGACATAACTACATGGTAATGCTGGTAAGGATGGTATAACCAAAAGTGAATTTGATGTGATACCGTCGACAATAACACGAACATAAAATGGTGTGGATGTTGGTGTGATGCTGTTGGTCATTACTACAATACCTGAAAATAATGAAAGTGGTGTGTTTTTCCAACCTTGACCGTTTTGATAATCGACTTGTAAAGTAATTTTAGTGGAGTCAATACCGAATTTGTGACCATAGATTTCTAATGATGTACCAGTAGAGTTAATGGCGCTGGTGGTATCGAGTACTGGATTGTTTGAATAGGTTACTTTAATAGTGCTTTGGAAACCAAGTGATTGGAGATCAGTAGTGGAATAACCATTGATGTTTAATTGATTATCAACAATACCGTAGACTGAAACAAGAATACCTTGGTATGAACCATAACCGTATGGTAATTGAATTGTGCATGAATATGTTGCAACACCAATGGCATATGATACTAATTTACTAACTTGTTTAACAGTGGTGAATGTTGGTGAATTTAAGAAGATGTATGGGTTGTGTCTTGAAGATATACCAGATTCAGGATCAGATGTAGTGAAAGTGAAAGTTAAACTTCTTAAAGCATTATGAGTACCGACATCGATGGTATTAGCTGATGAGGCGAAATTTGTTAAAACTGGTGGAATATTATCGACAGCAGCTTGTGGACAGGTAATAGCCAATGATAACTGTGATGATGTTAAGAATTTATATAAAGGATTAACATTTGAAGTGGATGGTAATATTGATGAATGACCTTGGGTATCAGTGATTGAAGCAGATGAAATTCTAAAAGTTTGAGATCTACAGGTACTAGCAGTTACTGGGATTCTTAATTGATAGGTACCGCTGTTTTCATTACCTGATATTGCATTGGCTGGTGTTATTCTAATAATATATGGTTCTAAATCAAAGTCACTTGTAATATTGAATTCGGCAGATTTGAAACCATTTGGTGAATCTTCGATTCTAATATTCCATCCAATATTTGAATTTTCAGTTATCTCGACTATATTTGATGGATAAGCAGTAAACTCTGTAATAATTGGTGGCATTTGATCTGCAAAGCTTGAGAAAACTCTTAACTGTGCTGCATTACCAATAGTTGATTTAAGGAAGAATGAACCATAGACATTTGGTGAGAAAAGAAGGTAGTAGTCTAATTCACCACTGAACATTCTAGCTGGAATCTGGAAGCTAATACAATACAACCCTTTTGTATGATCATATGCACCTGGTATACCATTTAAAAGATCTACTCTTTCAGGATTTAAAGGTGTGAATAGTGGAACAAAACGTGGTATAATATTCTTATCGGCATTAGGTACTCTAAAGCATAAAGTATTATTAAATGGACCATTTGAGACATCAACATCATTATATTTAAACTCGAATGATGTGAAATCGAATGGGTCAATATTATTTTCTAAAACATACTCTATATAAATTTAATAAATATGAATTAGAACTCTATTATAGTTTATGAAATTTTATAAATAACTACATACTGTATGATGGGAAAAGGGGGATAGTTTCTAGCTCCATGTTATAAAATGGTTTATTATAGTAGATATCTTGACAATTACCTGCTCTATCACAAACAGTCACAGATGGGGATCTTCCGAGATAGTAAGATTCAAAACTTAATATAGTTTCAAACACACCATCAAAAATAGTACCGTAAACTAAATCTGATGAACTTGTTCTTCTTGAACCTGCAGTTTCAATATAAGCAATACCTGATCCAGAATCAGATGCATAAACTCTTAAAACTACCTTTTCATTGAGAACTCCAACCAACTCTACTTTTTTTACAAAGGGGTTTGTTTTATCTAAAATTATAAAAATTTTATAAATTAATAATTTGTAAAATATTTGAAAAAATTAATATTTAAAACTTACCTTCAATATAATTTGTAATAGAATTTGGGAATGTATCGGGGCTTTGATTTGCCCTTATTACAATAACCTCTAAATTAGAACCTGACTTATATGGTGATGCAATATATGAACTTGAAAGCCTATGATATTTAATAGTACCATATGAAAAACTCCATGGATAACTGGTATCTACCTGTTTATAAAAAATGGTATTTTCATTTGAAATATATGTGTTGGGATTTAACGAAGCATATACCTCTGCATTAATTAATGTTGCCCCAATATGAGCATTTTCCATTACCAAAGAATATGAATATACTGCAATAGTATCATAATTTTTTTCTAAATATAAATAAATTAATAATATTAATAAAAAGAACCAAGAGTATAAATATTAATAAAAAAGAATTTACCAATAAAACTAAAAGAGCTGTCACCACCTACTCGTTTTGCACCTTGGGAATCAATAATTTGAATGTGTGATGTAATTGGTGAAGTAGCAGAATCAAAACCTAAACCTCCTGGGGTGAAGCCAATATAAGTTCCATTACCTATAGTACCAAAGGTTGGAAAGATAGCATTTTGTACCATATAGTCAGAATTGGAAGCAATATTTAAAATGTTATTTTTGTTTAAAATATTTAAAATGTACATTGCACTATTTACCATTTCTTTTTTTGTTACAGTTGAACCAGCCACTGGATACATTTGTGAACTTGCAACTACTAAAGATGGATTGAATGGAGCTTGAATTCCATCGAAAGCACTTGAATGTAATACCCTTCCATAAGCATCCTTAATGACAACATTAAATGGAGTGAATGGTCCTGGTGTTATAATAATAACCTGGGCCAAATAATTTTTAATTTTAGCACCATTAAAAAATTCAGAGAAACTGCATTGGAAATTCTGTGGAACGGTACAAGTAAATGCATCATATGGGAGAGATTTGGTAAGCTCATTAACTTCAAAAGCCTTTATCCAGTACATCATTCTATATATATCATATACTAATTGCCATTTATTTTGTTTAGGAGTCATTATGAGATTATTTGGTACTGGATCACAACTAAGAGTGGCATAATTGTCAAAGTCCCATGTCATTTGTGGGTTAAAAGAGTCATCAAAAGCTTGAAATGAAACCGAGACGCTACTACCAACTGGTACTCTATGTGGAATATTGAATAATGCCATAGTTTCGTTTAAATATGTTACTGGGCTTTCCCAACCATTTAAAGTTCTAACCCTCAATTGGCCATCATATTCTATTAAAACACCAACTATTAAACTACAGATATTTTCTGAAAAGTAAGCATATTGATCAGAAACTGGTAGTTTTACTTTTTTAATTATAGGACTACTAATAAAACCACTGCTACTGCTGATACTAGCACTACTACCACCACTGCTACTGTCTACATATAATTTTTAAATATAAATAAATATTAATATACACATCCGCAATTGCTTTTTCGAAATAATATAACTGTACTCATACCTGATAAAACAAAACTAATTAATAATAATATTGTAAAAACTAAAATAATTTTTTTTATCATTTTTTTTGGTATATATATAAAACTAAAAATTGAAAAAAAAAATATAAAAATATAAAAAAATAAACTATTTATACATTTTTATTTTTTTTGTTTCCTTAAACTTTAAAGAAACCGATAAAAAGCTATAAGTTGGCCATCGTTGTTTTTTTTTTATATTTTAGATTTAGCAAGATTGATTAGATGATATAGCTGATACGTTGCGACTATTAATTTAAGTTGATGATAGTTTTTTTTAAAAAAAAATATTAACCTTCAAAATTTAAAAAAATTGATTATATTTTTTTTTTTTTTTGGAGGAAAATTATTAAAGATCCAAAAAAAAAATAATAAAATATTATTAATATCTAAGATTTTTTGTATTACGAAAGTGATGATGTTATAACCTATATTCGTTCTCGATACGTGAAGAAACTTACATTCTAACCATATCATATTTTTATTCCATCACTAATAAAAAATAAAAATTATATTTTGAAACTGTGTGTATTTTTAATATATCTATCATAAACAATAATTTATATTTGTAATAAAATAATTTGATAAAGAATTTTATTCCTTTTTTTTTTATATATAGTATTTATTATAATATAATGTTTATTTAAACGTTGCTAATTAAAACACCAACAATGGTACCTAATTCTTTACCACAATCGGCAAAGTCACCTGATTTCCAATCGGCAATCATAGTCTTGAAGTCATCAGTAAGGTTGTGTTTGTTCTTCCAGATTTCTAAGGCTTCTTTGAGGATGAATTCGACAACACCATCAGCACCTGATGATAATTCTTTGGCAATATCTTCAATATCACTGACGAATTGAGTGATACCACATGATTGGTAGACAACTGGGATTGATTGGATGGCAATACCTAAATCTTGGATACCAACACCAACTTGTGAGATTGATTTTGATTTGAAACCAGAGTCGATTAATTGGAAACCAGTGACGAATTCATTTAAAGTGTTTTCAGCACCATTTAAACAGGCTTGGGAATTTGGGTTTAAGGTGATTTCCATACCATCAGCGAAACCAATTAAGAATTGACCGATTTCGGTGATATCTGATTCTTCTTTGGCAAAAGTAGCGCCAAGTAAAGCGAAAATAGCAAAAATAACAAATAATGATTTATTCATTTTAAAAAAATAATAAACTGTATTAAATAAAAAAAAACAATATATTAATATTTTATCCTATAAATTTAAAATATAACAATAATAACAATAATTTAGAAAAAAAAAAAAAAAATTGATGATTACAGTGATTAAAAAGTTATTGTGATGATGTGATTGTAAAACTTAATAAAAAAAAAAAACAATTTAATAAAAAATAAAATAAAATTAATTATTTTTTAATTAGTGTGTTTGTGTGTGTTTATTTTTATCTTTTTATCTTTTTTTTTTTTTTTGTTGAATTTGGGTGTGTGTTTTTTAATTCTTTAATTTTACATTTTTAAAAAAAAAGGTCAAACTAATAAATTTTAAATAAAAATAAAAAAAAAGTTATCAATATTACCTTTAGTACACAACAAAAAAATAAATAAAATGGAGAAAAAAATGATTAAAAAATTTAAAAAAAAAAAAAAATTTTAAAATAAAATAAAAAAAATAAAAAAAAATAAAAAAAATAAAATTTTTTTTTTGTAAACGCGGTGATGGAAAAGTAATTTGAATAGTTTATTGTGAACATATATCCAAACTAATTTTTTATTTTATTTTATAGAAAAGTTCAACTGAAAGATATTTTCCTATGGACCAAAATAAGTATCTTTATAAAAAAAAATAAAAAAAAAAAATAAAAAAAAATTGGAAAAATAATAGGACAAAAATATTATTAATAATTAAGTATTTTTAAAGAAAATGAATATTAAAAAAAAGAAATAATTAATATTGTTTATTGATTTATTTGTTTGTTTATTTGTTTGTTGATATTTTGGTAATTATCGAATTCCCATACACAACAAAATTTTATTTTTTTAAATTTATTTTCATTTTCGCTTTCATTTTTTTTTTTTTTTTCATTTTTTTTAATTTTTTTAAAATTAAATATAAATAAATAAAATTATAAAAACAATAAAATAATATTATTTTAAAAATGAGATTAATAATTAAAAATAATAGCAGTGAAGTTGGGGAATATGTTAGCCAAGTAATTAAAAAGAGAATTTTAGATTATTTTAAGAATAGAACCGATGGTAGACCCTTTGTATTGGGTTTACCAACTGGTTCATCACCATTACCAGTTTATAAGAAATTAATCGAAATGTATCAACGTAAAGAAATCTCATTTGAAAATGTAGTAACATTCAACATGGACGAATATTGCGGACTTGAAGCAGAACACCCATTCAGTTATCATTACTTTATGTGGGAAAACTTTTTCAAACACATCAATATCAAAAAAGAAAATGTTCATATTTTAGATGGTACTGCTAAAGACCACGAAAAAGAATGTGCACAATACGAAGAAGAGATTCAAAAAGCAGGTGGTATTGATTTGTTCCTTGGTGGTATGGGTGTCGATGGTCATATCGCATTCAACGAACCATGCTCTTCATTATCAAGTCGTACTCGTATTAAAACATTAACCCGTGATACTATTATTGTTAACTCTAGATTCTTTGATAATATAAACCAAGTTCCAACAAGAGCACTCACTGTTGGTGTAGGTACAATCATGGACTCTCGTGAGGTTGTACTCATTGTAACCGGTCATTCAAAGGCTTTAGCTCTCTATAAAACCATCGAAGAGGGTGTTAGCCATATGTGGACCGCCTCTGCCATTCAAATGCACAAAAAAGCTATGATTGTTTGCGATGACGATGCCACTGACGAATTAAAAGTTAAAACTGTAAAATATTTTAAAGAAGTAGAAACAAATTCTGAATATTAATAATATTCAAAATAATAAAAAAAAAAAAAAAAAAAAAATAATAAAAAACAAAACAAATAATAAAAAAATAAAACAATTTTTTAGTTTTATATATCTTTTAAAAGTGTGTTTTACTTTTTAACTATTAAAAGAAATTTATAATGGATTTTTTTAAGAAGTTATAGATAGTTATATAATCTATTTAAATATATACAGTTTATTTACAAATTGGTTATTGCTTTAGTTTCTTTGGATTGGCGATTGCTCTGCTGGGTTTATAATATTATCTAATATTAGTTTTGATGACGAAGACGATGAAGTGTCATTATTGTTTTTGTTAATAGTTTTGTTATTTTTATCTTCTCTTCTTTTCATTTCAGTTTTAGCAAACATTTCGATTGCTTCATCTGATAAAGTATATTGGATATTATTTTCGGGATTTTCTTCATCATAATATTGATTTTCATTGGTTTCTTCATCTTGATTATAGTATTCATCTTGGTTATAATATTCATCTTCATTATAATACACATCGTTATAATATTGTTGTGGGTATATGTTATTGTCATATTGTGGTTGTGGCTGTGCTTGTTGCTGTTGATGATGATAGTTGTTATAATGATATTGCTGGTCATAGTAGTGTCTATTGGATTGAGGAGGGTTTGATTGGTATTGAGGTATTGGTAGTTGCTGAAATTGGTTTTGTGACCTTATTAAATCTCTTTTAAAAAATGGGTGTGATATTTTATTTAATCTATCATCTGATATTAAATGAAAAGGCAATGGAACTATATTATAGTTATGATTATCCATTTTTTACATATAGTTTTTAAAAAAAATTATAAAAAAAAATAAAAAATAATAAATTTTAAAATTTTTTTTTCAAATTATTATATTTTTTTTTATTTAAAATTATAAAAAAATAAATTATAAAAATAATTTATTTGTATCTTTTTTGTCTATGGGTAATTTTTTTCATCATTTTTGTGGTAAACTTGTTGATTTTTTTCATTTTGTCTTGGTGGAGTAAATTGATTTTGTGTTTTATATGTCTTTTGTAAATATTGCAAGTAATCTTCCTTATCTTCTTCATCGTTTTTGGCTATCATTCCAGGTCTCTTGAATTTATTATCCTTTATATTGATTTTATCCAATACCTTGTTATCAGCTACGACCCTATCAAAGAATGCTGGTGAGTAGGGATTGTCCTTTTCATTATATCCTTTTTTTGGTTCTTGTAGTTGGTGATTTCCTTCATCTAATATTATTTGTTGATCTTCATTTTGTTGGCCTTCATTTTGATAACTATTGTGTCGTTCATCATTTTGTTGTTGATCATCATTTTGTTGTTGGTCTTCATTTTGTTGGTCATCGTTTTGGTTGTTATCATGTTGATCATCATTTTGTTGGTCATCATTTTGGTTATTTTCATGTTGTTGATAATCATTTAGCTTATTTTGTTCGTTATATTTGTTTTCATTGTTATTTGCATCTTTATTTCCCTTTTCCTTGATTTCACCTTCATCATTTTGAATATTAATGTTTTTATTGTTTACATAGTCATTTATATAGGCAAAATCATTTTGGTCTCTATTGATGATAAGTTGAGAATAAGCTGCCAAGCAACCATACTTTGATCTCCAATGAACAGCTACTAAACCATATTCATTTGGACTTTGAACCTCTGGTTGCCCATCACCGGCACTGGGATCGCAATGGAAGACATATGATAATTCGTATCTTGATCTAGGGTTATTTGGAATTTTGTCACCACCTCTATAGGATACAATTACACTTGGACCAGTTTTACCAGCATTATGTATAGAGTAATACTCTCTATTTGAACCTAAGCCATAGCAGCTCTTTGTTTTAGCGTCATATTTATATGCAACCATATCATTACCACATGGATTATCCCCAACTGTATTATTGCAAATATTGAAATAATAAACATCACCGTTATCACCATTAACTTTATAATCTTGATCGCTGATAATATAAGAAGTGTTGGTTTATATTTTATATTTAATTTTAATTTTAATTTTAAAGATTTGAATATAAAAACTTACGTTCTTATTAATTTTGATAAATCAAAATGGTAGCCTTCAATGGTAACACTACATTTTTGACCGAGGGTTATATAGGTAACACCTAATAATATTGAAAAATATAGCAAAAGTTTATTTACACACATCTTTAGATATATTGTTCTGTTGTTATTAATAGATGAAAATTGAAAAAATTTTTTTTTTAATACCCCCCTGTTTGTAAAATAAATATTTAAATAAAAAATAAAAAATAAATAAATAAAAATAAATAATTATAATGGGTGGCAAAATTATTAAAAAAAGCAATAACTACTATTTTATTTGTAAAATAAAAAAAATAACAAACAAATATAAAAAAAAAGGAAATATTTGTAGTTTTAAAATATGATATTTGTGTATTACAATTTATTTAAAAAATGAGGTTTTTTTTTTTTTTTGTTTTTTTTTTTAATGATCTTTTTTATACAACTATGGGAATAATTGTAACAATAAGTCACTTAATGAAATGACCCCAATTGGTTTTTTAGTTTCGAGACTATCTACGATGAAGAGACGATGGATAGAATTTGTGAAAATCTTTGTTAATGCTGTTTCAAAAGTGTCACTTTCTAAGATGAATTGGGCATGTCTTGGTCTAACAGTAACAGAGTCGGTTTTGAGGTATCCCAAAAATTCTTCAACTGGTTTATAAAGCTTCCAGAAGAATGCACCATCAGTTGCAATTGCTTTAAGGTCACGGGCTGAAAGATTATCAATTAAAGCACCATTACCATCAACAACAGCGATACCATTAACATCTTTATTCTCAAGGATCTTGAATGCATCAATAGCTAATGTTGAGGATTCAACAGTAATGACATTACCCATACTAATTCCAGTCATGTTTTTAACTAATAAATCTTTCTTTGAGCCAAGTAATGGGAGGTTTTCGTAGACAAATTTGATTAATTGGGATTGGGTTAAGATTGAAACCAAATGTCTATTAACCATATTATCGAGAATTGGGATTCTATGTACCATTGGATCTCTTGCAAAAATTTCAAAAGCTGAGAAAAGTGAATAGTTTTGAGTAATTTGGGTTAAATCTATTTGATTTGGTGTGTGGATATCCTAGATTTAAATTTTAATAAAATTAATATATATTTAAAATTTTGAAAAAAAAAAATTAAATAAAAAAAAAAAAAAAAAAAAAAAAATACTTACTCATTACATCATTAACAGTAAGGGTTTTGAATTTTTCTTCCTCCTCTGATAATTTCCAGAAATCTTGTTCAATTGACATTTTTTCTTTTCCGAAATGAGTAGTTACATGTCTTACAATATCTAATAAATCAATGAAACCATACCATTTCTTTTTATCTGTAAAAAAAAATTAAAAAAAATTAATATTTTAAATTTTAATTTAAAACTTTTTCAATTAAACTTACCAGTTTGTTGGAATACCGGGACGGAGAGGAACCCTCTTTCAATTAAACCTTTGAAAACTTTGGTTAAATTGTCAGTACGTTCACAACTAAAGATAATTTCATCTCTAGTTTTAATTGACATGGCACGAGTATTAACCAATTTAATCAAAAATTGAGTACCATCTAAATTTTGTGGAACTTGGGTATTTAAAGCAGTCTTTACATCTTGTACTTCTGCTGTTTTTTGTTTTTTTGATGCATCATTTTCTGTTGCTGTGTTTCCTTTTCTTTTTGATTCCATTTTGTTTATTGTTCTATTTTTGAATTATTTATTACTAATATAAAAATAACAATTTATTATTTTTTATTTGTTTAGTTTTATTAAAACAAAGAAAAAAAAAAGAAAAGAAAAAAAAAAATATTAATAAATAAATTCACAATTAAAAAAATTAAAAAATATTTAAATTAATTTTTATTTTTTTTATTAATTTCTTTTTTAATCAACTATAGATTATAACAAAAAAAACAATTTATTTGAATCCAAAAAATTATTCGAAAGAAAAAAAAAAAAATTATTTATTATATAAAATTCCAAAAATGGAAAAAATTAGAAATCTTACATTAAGGTGCTTACTTGATGAATTAAAATAGAGAAAATGAAAAAAAATATTGAAGGTATGATTTAATTTCTTTTGTGATAAAATAAAAAATGAATAAAAAATAAAAATAAAAAATAAAAATAAAAATAAAAAATAAATTCAAAATAATAGGCTATTTAATCGAAATAAATAGAAATAAATAATTATTTTTTTTTTTTTGATAAATATTGCTCTATTTTAGTATACAAATTAATTTTTTTGTAGAAAACAATAAATAATAATTAAATAAATTTTGCCCATTGTATTAAAAAAGAGCGCATTCGATAATAAATTTAAATCACCATATTAATATTATTTTTTTTTTTTTTACTTTTTTTTTTTCATTATAACAACACAACATCCATTCTCTATATGTTGAAATGTGTGTTGTTTTTCTATTAATTAATTCAATTATTAAAATTTATTTTTTTTTTAATTAAATTATTTTTTTATTTTTTAATTTTTTTTTTAATTTTTTTAATTTTTTAATAAAATATTTTATAATTTTAGTATATATAGTTTTTTAAAAATTAAATAATTAAATAATTTATTATTAAATAATTAAATAAATAAAATTATTTCCAAATATATAATTTAAATCTATAAAACTAATTTTTTTCGGATTTTCCTTTTTTTTTTTTGTATTTTTTTCATTTTTTAATTAAAATAATTTTTTAATTTCAAAATAAAAAACAATTATCATTTTCAATATAAACAACAATTTAAACTTTTCTAAAAATGGAACAGCAAGATCCCTTATCAAACAATACCAACAATAATAACGATATTGAAAACAATACCACCACTACAACAACAACAACTAATATAAATAATAACAATAATAATAGTATAGAAATAAATATGCCAACTAATGAAGAAAACGATAACAACACAATTACCCAATCAACAGAGGAACCTGAGGATGGATCATCTTATGAATATATATCAGGCCAAAGAGTTTGTATTATCATAGACTCTGATGAAAGTACAAATAGAGCACTTAATAAAGCAATGGATTCATTTGATAAAACCAAAGATGAATTATATTTATTAACAGTGTATGTATTACAAACTATAAATTTTAATATCAATTATTATTTACTAACTCTTTTTACCATACGTACAGCACAAGTTCTTTAGATTTTTTAAATGATGAAAAAAATGATGCAAAACTTTCGCTCTACAAATATGAACATTATTTTGACTCTATTGGTGTAAGTTTTTATTTACTTTTTATTATAACACTCGAACATAATTATTAACCTTTCATTTTTTTACAGATCGACTATATACCTATTTCAGTAGAGGCATATAATATATCATCAAAGATTGTTTCAGAAATTGAAGAAAATGAAATTGATATCGTTTATGTTGGTGCTCAAGCACTTTCACATGTTTCAAATCCTGATAATATTATTTTTTCAGTTTTTAGCTATATTAAACAGTAAGATTATCTTTTACAGTTATTAACAACACAAAAAAGTAAAACAATTTCTAATTTTTTATAATTTTCATTTTAATAGAACTGTTTTAGGTTCAATTGTTTCAAATTTAAAGAGTTCGTCAGAGAAAATTGGATGCAGTTGGAAACTCGAAATTGTAAATTAGAAATATACTCAATAAAATATATAGCCCCTCATATTTATTACATAATATAACAATATTTGTTTTTTTTTTAATAAAATCATGTAAATAAACAATTTAAATTTCTCAATAAATAATAACTTTAATTCTTTGAAAGGATTAATATAATGCACTATAATAAAATAATAAAACATTAATATAATAAAACATTAATATAATAAACATAAAAACTATAAAACTATTGTATTTTTTTTTTAAATTTTTTTTTTATTTTTTTTTTATAAATTTTTTTTTTTTAAAATTATATAGGTTGTATTATTTTACTGGATTATTATTATTATTTTTTTTTTTTAAAGAATTATTTTTGAATTATTGATTTAAATTTAGAATAAACCACTTAAACCACCTAATTCTTGTTGTTCTTTAACAAAGGTTTCAAAGTATTGATAAATGATAGTAACGGCTAAAAGAATACCTGTACCTGAACCAATGGCACCACAGAAATCGGCAATAACAGTTAAAGCACCAATGCAAAGACCACCAAAGGCAGCAGCAGTTGGAATGTAACGGTTGAGTTCCTTGATAACTGAAGTATCACGATGACCTTTCATGGTCATACCTTGGTCTTTGAGTTGTTTGGCAACGTCACGAGCAGATGAACCAGAGACTTCGATCCAAACTTTAGAGAAGAGGGCACATGAAGTTAACATGAAAACAACGTAGAATAAAGCGTGGAATGGATCGGCAATAACGGCGCTGATGTTATTTGGTGATGAAATGTAATAGGTAAGACCTCCAGTTGGGATCATGTAACCACCATATTCGGAATTTCTCCATGCACCAAGTAAATTAATTAAAATATTGTCTGGGAAACGACGGTATAATAATTGTGAGATGAAATAAAGATTTGAAACTAAAGCTGATTGAAGAATAATTGGAATATTTGAGGTGTAGAATAATTTGATTGGGTAAGTACCTTGTTGACCAGCGACACGAGTTGATTTGACTGGAAGATCTACACGGAAACCTTGGAAATAAATAACAACTAAGAAAATTAAAACGGTGGCTAAAAGATTAGTGACATTTGGAAGGTTTTGTCTGTAGAAGGCTTCTTTGAGGGCTCTGACTTTATCGTTACGGGTGAGTAATAAGTGGAAAAGAGCAATGACTGCACCTTCAAATTCGGTACCTCTACCAGTGTTGATGGTGGTTGGTGAGAATGTTTTCCAAATAATAGTTTCACAAATGTTGGTGGCAATGAAAAGTGAAATACCTGAACCAATACCATAACCTTTTTGTAAAAGTTCATCTAAAAGCATGACAATAATACCTGCAAAGAATAATTGTAAAACAATTAAGAAGCAATTGCCAAAACCTAAAACTGATGGATCACCATATGTACCTGACCAAATATAAGCTGTACCTTGACCAATACAAATTAACATACCGAATACTAAATAAATAAATAAAAATTGGTTAATAATCATTTCATTGTTTAAAACTTGATAATCATGATGATGATCGTGAAAATTTACATTTTTGGGCAGCTGAGAATAAATCTCTATCTTGTTTAACAGATTGATCGATTTCAATTAATTTAGCACCAGCTAATAATTGCATAACCATACCAGAAGTAACAATTGGTGAAATACCTAATTCCATTAAAGTACCTCTATTTGAAGCCATAATAACTTTAGCCCAATAGAATGGATCTGATGAATCGGTTGATCTAATACCATAAAGTGGGATTTGTGAACAAACTAAGAAAATAAATAAACAAATAGCAGTCCATAATACCTTTTCACGGAATGGAACCTATAAAAAATTTAAAAAAAAAAAAATATATTAATATCATTATTTTTATTATTATTATCATTACTAATTATAATCATTAACTATTATTGTTTGCTATTATCATTATTTGTCGGTTATTTATTTATTTTGTAATTATTATGATTATAAATTGTTTAAATATTTTTCATATTTTTTTTTTTAGTTTGAATTTACCTTTCTATCTGGTTGACCAACTTCTGGAATAATTGAGGTAAATGGTTTGACGATATCTAAGAAACGGAAACCCATTTTATATTTTAATTTTTATATATATCTATTATAATATATATATTTTATGTGACACTAAATAATAAATAATAAAATTGTTAATTAATATTTTTGTTTTTAAAATTACAGTTTTAAAAATACAATAAGAAATAAACAAAAATAGAAACAGAATCAAAAACAAAGAAAAAGGCCCCGGGTTTTTTTTTTGTTTTGTTTTTTCCAATTTTTAAATTTTTCCCATTTTTAAAAAAAAAAAAAAAAAAAAAAAAAAGAAATAATATTTTACCCTAGTGATGATGATACTGAAAAAAAAAAAAAATAATTTAAAAATTTTTTTAAAAAAAAAATTATAAAAAAATTAAAAAAAAAAAAAAATTTAGGGGGATGGCCCCCAGCCAAATTATTTTCTTTAATGAAATGGCTGGAAAAAAAAAATATAAATAAATTAATATATCCTTCAATTTATGAAATTTGAAACTTTTTTTTTTTTTTTTTTTTTTTTTTTTTTTAAAAAAATATATTTTTTTTATTTCTTAATATATACATGTATTCAGAAAAATAAAAATAAAAATAAAAATAAAATTAAAAATAAAAATAAAAATAAAAATAAAAATAAAAATAAAAATAAAAATAAAAAAAGTTATTTTTAAATTTTAAATTAACTTTAGTTTGAACAAATTCAACATCACAACTGAAATTTAATTATTATTTTATATCTAAAATTCATGATTGATAAAAAATAATAAAAATAATAAATAATAAAAAAAAAAATAAAAAAATAAATCTAATAAATAAATCAAAACTAAATATAAATTGATTTAAAGAAAAGATAATAGTTATGAAAATGAAAAGATAAAGGTTATTCATTTTTCATTTTTTTTTTTTTGATTTTTCTTTTTTTTAAAAAAATTTTCGGTTCGTTTTTTTTTTTTTACCCCATAACCACTCAAAATTTTTTAAAAAACTATAAGAAAAATTTTAGTGGCTTATCAATCAATATAAAAAATTTTGAGCGTACCGTGGGGGGATTGGGTTCTTTTTATACCAATCTAATAATAAACCTGTTTTAATATGCTCAAAGAAAAAATGGTGCCTTTAATCAATCGGTAATCTGTTCTATTACTGGATTTTCATGCAGTCACTACATTCCTTATTTAATTAAAAGAAAAAAAAACATACATATATAATTATAATATTAATTATTATTTAAAAATGATATAAATATTCAATTATAATATCTCAATTTTATAGTCATAATAATCACATATAATAATCAAATAATAAATAATGTATTTTTTATTATTACTGACTTTTATTTATATATAAATCACAACACATAAATTAATATATTGTCGGTCATATTGTTTTCCAACATAACTCAAAACAATTTTTTTGGTCAACAAAAAATAGCATCTCGTTATCGTTTTTTTTTTTATTTTTTTTTTTTTTATTTTTTTTTAATTTTTTAATTTTTTTTCTCAAAAATTTTTCTTTAAAAATTTTTCTTTTCTTTTTTTTTTTATTTTTTTTATTTTCATATTTTATGTTGATCTCTATCCTTCGCTATGTAAAGTATATTTATGTTAGAAACACAGTTTTTTTTTATATTGGGTATGTAAATAATGAATATTTGTTTTATTTTTTATTATTTTTTTTCGAATGATGATAACCTAAATAATAATCTCTTGCTGATTCCTTTTGATATTCCGTTCTGGAATATTGGGGGATACTCTGTGACTCTTTATTCATAGTTACTCTGACTTTTTTTTTTATTTTATTTTTATTAATATAATTATTTATACACATACATTAAAACATATAAAACTAACATTCTTTTATTTTTATACAGATTCTTTCTTTGTTGCTTTCTAAAGACTATAGCCATAAATAGAAATAATTTCTATTTATAAATAGTTTATCAACTATCTTTTTTAATAGGTTTATTAATAAAAGATTTTAGATAAATAATTTATAAATAACAATTATTATATTTTTTTTAAAAACTATAAATAAAATTTTCTAAAAACTTTAAATATAAATAAAATTTATTATTTTTATTTATCTTTTTTCTAAAAGATAGTCAAAGTCTTTATATTCAGATTGGACAATGCCATATTTAATTGATTCATCAATTTTTTTGCCATCTGTTGACATTATTTTAAAATTTAAAAAGATATTGGACACAAAGAGGAATAATTCGTCAAGGGAGAAGTTTTTACCGACACAATTTCGAGGACCAAGAGTAAATGGTAAAAATGCTGGATTGTGGGGATCTTTTAAGAATCTTGTTGGATCAAATTCTTCTGGGTTGTCATAGTATTCTTTATTCATGGATAGAGCATGTTGATTGACTGATATGATTGCATCTTTAGGGATAAAATATTGATCATTTATTATAATATCATTCTTTGCTACTCTTGGAAGTGAAAATGCAGTTGGTGATCTGTATCTTAATGATTCTTTGATGAATGCAACCGTGTAAGGAAGGTATTGTCTATCCTCAATATTGACTACATTTCTATCTTTACCAACTACACTCTTAATCTCGCTGTGAACTTTTTCTTGAACCTCTGGGTAGTTGGAGGCCATCATAAAAATATTTGTATTTGCATTAACACTTGTTTCAATTCCACCTATGATGATATCTTTACAGTTGGCAGCAATTCTTTCAATATAGTCTGGGTCTGAGTCCCTAAATTCTTTGATCAAAAGATCAACCAAGTCTCTACATTCATTTGGATCATATGTATCTAAATGCTCGTAAACTTTCTTTGTAAAATAGTCATTAAATAATTTAGGATTCTTTTCAAAGTATTTTAGGTAAAATGAATAAAAAGGTTTTAAAATATCTATAGCTTCAGCTGGATTTCCTTTTCCAAATAAATTAAAAATCTTGTTCATTGGAATAATAAATTCTTTTTGAACATTTTCATCATTTAAATCTAGACTCTCATTAAGCATATATTTGGAAAATATTTTTAATAAATAGTTGATGCTATGCTTTAATGGATTAAATGGTTTTTTAGCAATTGCATGTTCATTCATTGCATAAATAAATAATTGGGTCTCATCTTCGATACACTTGTAAATATGTTTTATATTGATTTTTTTTAATGATTGTGATAGAACTCTTCTATTTTCTTTCCATGCTTGACCGCTAGATGTCCCAATGCCAAGGTTTCCATGGAAACTTTTTACCTTTAAAAAAAGAAACAATTAATATTAGGTTATTAAATTTTAAATAAAATATATGCATACAGGAACGTCAGGTCTATTGGCAAAGTTTTCGAAATTATCGACATATATTTCTTTTATCAATACAGGATCGTGAGCTGTGATATAAGTGATGTCACCCACATGGATTCTAACTATTTTTTTATATAAATTTAACATATTTTCAAATGATTGTTTGGACATATTACAAACTTGGTGCAAATTTCCAATTACTGGTAAAGGAATAGGACCATCTATTTGTTTTTCATTTGAAACCTTTAGTTTTTGATACTGGATAAAAAATAAAAAAATAAAAAATATTAATAAAATATAAATTTATAAAAAAATAATATAAATACATACACCCGAATATATAATATAAGATATTACAATATAAAATATTATAAGAATCACATTCATTTTTATTTATATAATTTAGTTTAGAGAATAATAAAAAAAATATTTAAATAACAAAAAAAAAAAAATTATAAAAAAAAAAAAAAAAAAAAAAAAAAAAAAAAAAATTGATATATTATTTGAATATACACAGTTAAACCTAATAAAGTTAATGGGCAACTATCGAATTGTTTTTTATCTTTTACTTTTTTTTTTTCATATTTACCTTGCACAATTTTTTTTATTTAAAAACACTCCCCTAAATATTTTTTTTAAGTTGTGGTTATATTATTTTTTTATTTATTTTATTTATTTTTACTCTTTGGAAAAGTAAAGTTGTACTTTGTTTATTTAGGGTATTGGATTTATAAGATTTAATTAAAAAAACAATCTTTAATTTTGATATTTAATTTAAAAAAAAAAAAAAAAGAATTGGTCGCGTGTTTGTATATCGTTTTAAAATATTACACGCACAACATAAATTAGTAATCATATCTGGTCTGTAAAAAAAAAGAAAAAATAAATAAAAATATTAATTATTTTCCACTAAATTGTTTATTTAGGTTGTTAGGAACACAGAAAATAAGAGAGGAACACAAAAGAATGTTTATTAAATAAATGTAATTGAATGATATAATTAACAGATGAGATATACAATTTTAAAAAAAAAAAAAAAAAATTTTTTTTTATGAATATATGCACCAATACAAATAGAGGGGGAAATTATTATTATGTTTTTTTTTTTAAAAATATTGTCAATTTTATTATTATTCATATTTATTATTTATTTTATTATTGGGTCAATTAATTTATTTAATATTATATTTTAATATTTTTATTTAAACACCTCCTCCAAATTTAATGGTAGAGTCATCGGTTGAATTTGGAACGTGAAAAGCTGCATGTAATAATGTGACTAAAATAAAAATGATTAGTAATTGATTTTGTGTGTGTATATAAAAAATAATATGATAGTAATAATAATAATAATAATTGATAATTACTTGTACATGTTGCACCAATTAACCAAAATATTGAGGAGCCAGCATATAATAAGAAATAAAGTGAAAGAAAAGCTTGAATGCCATAACCAATTTTCTTTTGAATGTCAGTGAGGTTTGGATTGATATAGTGAATATATACTGAAATGAATAAGAGGAGGCCTAATAATAAAAGATAGAATGGATTTGTAATGACGAAATAACAAGAGAAGACAATAAAGAGAATTAAATAATTGGATTGGAAATATACAACATTTTCTTTGATTCTACTTGTGGTATCTTTGATTGCTGGAATTGTATATTGCTGTCTTTCACCTAAAAATTGACGCCAGTTACGAGTTTGTTCCATTTTGGTGTCTTTAAACTCTTTTATTTTTGATGTAATTGCATTGACTCTGTGTGATAATGCTGATGGTTCTAAAGAAATATTATTGTTACCTAAAGCAAATCCCATTACTGCACCTGCAACAGCTTGTGATGCTACCGATGATACTGAAGATGAAGATGATGCACTGCCGCCTTGTGTTGGTGAGGTTTGGGACATTTGTGGTGAGATTGGTGATGAGATATTGCCACCGCTAATTGTATTGGAGTTTATAAACTCCATTCCCGAGTTTGTATTATTATATGTTGTTTCATTATTTGATTCGTTCATTTTGGTATGTATATATATTATATATGTATATTGATAGTACTTTTATTTTATTATATGAAGGTTTTAATACAATGATTGTAATATTATATTAATATATAAATTAATTTTACAAAAAAAAAAAAAAAATAAAAATAAATATTTAATTTAAAATTTGAAAATATTTATGTGGGTGTTTGTGTGTGAAAATTTATATATAAAACAAATTATTTGTTTTTTTAATATTAGATTTTTCGTTAGGGATTTAAAAAAATTATTTTTAAAAAAAAAAAAAAAAAAAAAAATTAAATTATTTTTTAAAAAAAAAATTCAAATGAAAATTATTTATTTAAATTTGGTAAATGATAACTATTATTGCTAGCTATTACTATCATTATTTTGATTTGGTTTTTAAAGAAGTCATAATAAAAATGTTTTAAAATAAAAAAAATAAATATATATATTTATACATTTAAATAAAAAAATAAAGATAAAAATAATTTAATTTTAAATTAATATAAAATAAAAAAAGGCTAAAAATAATTAGGATCCTAATTATTGGAAAAAGAGATTGAACAAATATAAAAATTAATTTATTTATTTGGAAATATTAATTCATTAATATTTAAAAAAAAATTTTATTTTTTTCAATTTTTTCATTTTTTTTTTTTTTTTCGTTTTTATGAATTTTTATTTTTTTATTTTTTCTTTTTTTTTCACAAACTCATTAAATATATATATAAGATGTCATTCTTCCAAAGAGCAACATCATCATCATCAAATTTCTTTTTAAATACTGGTATGATCATCACAAATCGAACACTATTCTAATTATGGAGTGGTGTTTCCTATTCTCTTTCTATCAATTAGCATATCAATAATAGCACAAAAGTAATCACTAAATAATATGATTATGGAAACTTTTAAACGTATCGATTTGGATTACAGGGATTTATAAAACATAGTTATCGTGGATATAGTGATTATTATAAATCAGCAATAAACAATAATATATTACTAGTATCAAATTACATAATAATCCACAATACATAATAATTTTTTAAAAATTAAATAATAATAATAAACAACAACAATAATAATAATAATAATAATAATAATAATAATAATAATAATAATAATAATAATAATAATAATAATAATAATAATAGTAAATAGCAATATTATAATATGATTTAATAATATTAGAAATTAAAGAAATAGAATTGGTTTTAATTAATATACATTTAAATTTTATATAGTTGAAAACCTCATCGCTAAAAGATGGGCTACTCACAAATCTGCAGGTTCAACTAAAAATGGTAGAACATCAAACCCAAAATACTTGGGTGTTAAGAAATTTGGTGGTCAATTTGTTATTCCAGGAAACATTATTATTAGACAAAGAGGTACTCAATTCCATCCAGGTTTAAATGGTAAATAAATATTTATTTATTAGCAATATATAAGTAGTATACATTATATTAACAATAATATATTAAAATAGTTGATATTGGTAGAGATCATACTATTTTTTCAACAGTTGCAGGTGTTGTTCATTTTTCAAAAGAACCAATTAAAGGAACCAATAAAATACGTAAATTCATTTCAGTAGTCCCATTACAAAAAGAACAAGAACAAGAACCAATCGAAAAAATAACAACCACTGAAAATTAAAAAAACCCATCAAAAAAGAAAACTATATATAAATAAAATAAATTTTAAATAATTTTGTAAAAGATCCAACACAACAAAATAAACACTGAAATATTTATTGTGTATTTATTTTTATTTTCAATTAATAATTTTTTAAATGAAATCAAAATTAAAATATATTTAGAAAAAAACATTTTTATTAATATTTTGATTTTAAAAAAGTCGAGCTTTCAAAAATCACAACCTTATCAAAAATATTAATATTTTTTGTGTAACATTATCCACCACATAATTATTTTGTGTGGTGTGTTAAAATTTAATATTTTTTTTATTTTTATTTTTTACTTTTTTTTTCTTTTTTTTGTTTTAAAAAGATTTTATTCTTTTTTTTTTTTTATAAATTAATTTTTAAATTAAATAATTCTATTAGAAATAACCAAAATTATTTATAATATTAAAATATTCGTTCATATAATAAATTTTCACAAAAATTTCAAATCTTTTGTTGTCTCCCCATTCATTTTTTTTTTTAATTTTTTTTTTTTTAATTTTTTTTTTCTTTTATTTATTTTTTTCTTTTTAAACATAATAATATTAATAATTAAATAATAATAGAATAAAAGTTTAATTAATATAATCATTAATCTATTGTTTATTTTATAATATTGTTGTTTTTTTTTGTAGTATTTGTTTTATTAATTGTCAAAAAAATAGTAAATTAATTATAGTTTGTTCTATAGGTTAATATATATATATTTGTATAAAAAAAAAGATTGTATAAATGGCTTTTCTTATTGGTAAAAAGAAGAATAGCTATTGGTTTGTTATAGGAATTCTTTATATTTTAATTTGGGAAACAAGTAAGTAAACCAATACATCATATAATAAACCCGAAAATATAATAAAAAAAAAAGATATTTTTTTTCATAAAATTTTTTTTTTTTTTTCATATACAAAATATCGATTACAACAGTGGCTAACTTTTAAATTCTTTTCATCTTTATAAAGTTTGTTGTTTTTCATATAGTACGAAGGAGATTGAAAGAGAAAAGCAGATTTATAGGGATATTTCAAAATCAATCTTTCAAAATTTAGAGGCATTAAGCGGTGGTTCTCAAGAGAATGGTAATCATAATGAAGACGATACCATCTATATTGATAAGTTTGAAGATGAGGATAAAGAAAAAAGCGGCATAGATTTAGATAGTGGTGATATTAAACCCAAAACAACAACATCAATAAAAAAAACAACTCCAATAAATAAAAAGATAATACCAGATTTAAGAGAACTATTACCACCTTTAAATTTAACATTCGATGTAAAGAATTCATCAATGAATATACCTACATATGTAAACACTGATTCCTTTAGCTTATCAGATATCAATATCAACTCTACTCATTTTGGAATGCAATCAGATAATATTAAAATGAACATTAGTGTAGAGGCAAACCAATTCCCAATCTCTATGAATTTAATTTCAAACAAATCAGATGTACCCATTTCATTAGGAATTTGTATGATAATATTTAATCATTATATTATTTAATAATTAATAAATTAACACAAATATTTTTTATAATAATACTTATAGATGGCGCAAATAATATTCCTGTCAATTTAATTGTTAGCTCACTTGACACCCCAGCATTAAACTACTTGGTAATATTTGTCTTTGGTTCTATTAATTTCATTTTAGTTGTTTTCGTTGTTACTCAACAAATTTCGATTTGTAAACTAAAGAAACGATTAGATGCTATAGATATTTCCAATCAAGTGTTAAAAGGAAAAAGATTTAAAAAAGGAATGTTTGGGATTCATCGATAAATAGGGGGGACGGGATTCAGAGGGTAATAAAAGTCAATGGGCAACAACCATAATGAAAGTTCATTGATATAGAGGAAATCAAGGGAATATTAATAGGCCAATATCATTTATTACATGCAATAGATGCGGGCAAATTTAATGGGAAAACTAGAATTTGGCTTAAGTGGCGGGAAATGGTTTAAGGGAATTTAGAAAAAAATTTTTAATTAGAAATGAATGCTTTTTGTTTTCCAAAAGATCCCCAAATAAATTAAATAAATTTTAAAAACTATATTTAAAAGGAAAGGTTTTTTTTTTTTTTTTTCC